AGCAAGCTTCATGCTTCAAATGAACTTCCATAAAACAAGTACAGTCAAATAATGTGGTATTATAAATAATCTGGTCTTTGTCCTTGGTTCTTGGCATACAACTTCAAAAACCTTTGGAATTTCCTGAGCTATGGGAATTTGCTTAATAAACTGAGTCCTGGTAAGTTCCTAACTAGCTTCTGAAATGGAGCTGCTCACCAGAAAACCACAAGATTAGAGGGTAGGAACTTTGGAACAGCTCTACTTCCTAGTAAGAATGAGTTCTGGGGCCAATCTTGTGGACAGCAAGTTGACAAATCAAGCCTTTGAAACCAAGACCCTTAAAAAAGATGAAGCTTTCCCACATGGTAAACTGGGAGACTGACACACTCCAGCTACAGAGGGAGGCTGAATGGAAGCCATGATTCCCCCCTCGCACTCTATTAACAATCCTTATAACACCATAGTAGTCATAAGTACAAAACTTTGCTGAGCTGTTCTACAGTGGTTCTAGTGATAGCCAGTCAAATGCAAGCATTCCTGAAATCTCAACCCCTCAACCTATAGAGTCTGATGCTAATTCCAGGTGGCCAGAATTGAATTGTACCAAAGAATAACCACTTTGAGGTGAAACAATAATTACACTTAACTAAATCAATTCAGCCATGAAATTTCATCCTACCCTACTGAACTGTCTCTTCTGTGGATTGTTCATCTTTGCCAGTAAATTAAAAGGAAAGCTCAATAGTACCAAATAGTACCAAATAGTAAAGACCACCTACCAAGTGACTATGACTAAATATATTTGAAAATATGTTTGTTTAAAGACAATACAGGGGTGTGCCAGACAGTGGAGGTGCACGCCTTTAATCCCAGCACTCAGGGGGCAGAGGCAGGCAGATCTCTGTGAGTTGGAGGCCAGCCTGAGCTACAAGAGCTAGTTCCAGGCTAGCTTCCAAAGTGACAAAGAAACCCTGCCTTGAAAAGCAAAAACAACAACAAAAAGGACAATACAGGGGTGACAGATAGGTTGATAGTTAAGATAGTACTGCACCTGTACTGGGTGCACACATCTCTCATCTCTACACTCTGGGGCAGACAGACAGGGGCAAACCTCTAAATTTGAGGCCAACCTGGTTTACGAAGTGAGGTCCAGGACAGCCAGGACTACACAAGGAAACCTTGTCTCAAACAAGCATGTACTGCTCTTGCAAGTTTAATTTAGTTCCCAGCAGCAGGTAACTAACAATTGCCTATAATTCCAGAATCTGATGCCTCTGGACTCCAAGGCACACACACAATGAAAATCTAGGGAGGGCCGGACGTTGGTGGTACACACCTTTAGTCCCAGAACTCGGGAAGCAGAAGCAGGTGGATCTCTGTGAGTTTGAGGCCAGCCTGGTTTACAGAGTGAGTTACAGGACAGGCTCCAAAACAATACTGAGGAACCCTGTCTCAAACAAACAAACAAACAGTCTCTAGATAGGATGGTGCAGTGGGTAAAAGTCCTCGCCTACACCTGATGACCTGAGTGGAAGGGAAGAAGAGACTCCTGCAACTTGCTCTCTGACCTCCACACTTGTACCATGACATGTGCAACCCCACTAACCAATCAATCAGTTTACCAATCAATCAATGTTTCTTTTCATTAACAATAGAACTACTGAGATAACTCAGCAGGCAAAGGTGTCTGCTACCAAGTCTAATGATGTGTGTTCAGTCTTGGCACCATATGGTAGAAAAAGTAGGACTAATTCTGAAAGTTGTTCTGTGACATCCATACACATGCTATGGCACGCATATCACACACTCAAAAATTTCCCCTCTTTTAGACGGGGTCTCACTGTGCATTTCCAGCTGGTCTAGAACTTGCTGTGTAGAACAGGCTGACCTTGTACTCCAGGGATCTACCTGTCTCTGTCTCCCAACGTAATACAGAATTCCACTTCACAGTTATCATATTTTATTGCCATATTCCCAAGAAATAAATCAGAAAATTGCTTAACACCTTCAAAATAGCTAACTATCCTTTTCTTGTGTTAATTATGTCCACAAATCTTAGGAGTACAAATCTCAAAACACTTAATTCAGATTCTTTATCCATAGGTAAGAAAAGGTTATTTCAAGTTTGTATGTATTTATTCATTTGTCTACTCACATTTGTTTATTTTTTTGTCATTTGCTGAATGCTTCCCATGTTCCAGAAAGTATGCTTGATAAACACAGGAAACAAATTTTTTGTTTGTTTTGTTTCTCTGTGTAGCTTTGGAGCTTGTCCTAAAACTAGCTTCTGTAGACCTAGCTGGTTTCAAACTCAAAGAGATCCACCTACCTCTGCCTCTGCCTCCTGAGTGCTGAGATTAAAGGCGTGTGCCACCACTGCCAGGCTAAAAAATTTAAAAAGTCAGGTCATAAGCTGGGTGTTGGTGTCACAAGCCTTTAATCCCAGCACTCAAGGAGGCAGAGACAGATGGATCTCTGTAAGTTCGAGGCCAGCCTAGTCTACAGAGCTAGTTCCAGGACAGGCTCCAAAGCCCACAGAGAAACCCTGTCTGGGGGGGCGGGGAGGGATGGGACACCAAAAAAACAAAAAAGTCAGGTTATTGTTCTTGTGTATTCAAAAACCAATTAGCCCATGCACCCAAAATTAACATATATACCCTGTAAGGTTATGAGAATCAAATATAATTCTATATTCAAAGTGATTAGTTAGTAGCACATAGCCACAGCAAATAATAAATGTTACCTAATTTTAGTGTACTTAGGTAGGATTAGCCTCTGTGGTTATAAAAATGCATTCCACCAGTTATTTCTTAAACCCAGTGAGTTAGAAGCCAGTCTGGGCTACAGGTGAATTCCAGGACAGCCAGGACTGTTGCACAGAGAAACCCTGTCTTGAAAAGTCAAACCAAAACAAAACAAAAACCCTTAAAGAGGGAGATAGGTATCAACATTACTGTCTAGTGGCAAGGAGGGTCTTGACAGTGAAGCACAGAGATACTAAATGCCCAGAAAGGTCTTGTCTGCACTGAGCCTCAGGGAAATAATTTGTCATGTAATACAGTAGTTACAACAACTAGAGTAAAGGATGGATTTAAGATGAGAGAAATGGATGGGAAACTGAGCCATCTTCAGAAAGGATAAAAGTCCGAGTATGACAAAGGGCCAACAATTCTGACCTTATGACTTTTATTGACTTGAAAGATTTCTACTTATAAAGATCAAAAATTTAGTTGGCTTCCTATTGCACTTGTGGGAATACCATGATTCATGTAGGTCTACGGTGAATGAAATAAACCTCCATGAACTCAGTCTTCTGTCTTACTACATCCACATCCATCATGTTTCTGCTGAGTCCATTGAGTCCCTGCCACCCCAGGTCCATTTTTATTTTTCAGCTTTTCAAGTGAGTCACTATATTGCTGCTGTAATGTGTGGCCTACAATCAAGAAGCTCTTGGGTAATGCTGGGGCTTTTTGACAATCTATGTATTTCTCAACATACTGATGAAAGGTATGGCTTCTCAACTTTGCTAGTATAACTAGGTTTCTAGAATTTTTTATTTCAGGTGTATGTGTTTCACCTGTATGTATATACGTGCACCACACACATACTTGGTCCAGAGGCCAGAAGAGGGCAACAGATCCCCAGGATACTGGCAATCGGACCCGGGTCCTCTGTATGGCTCTTAACTACTGAGCCATCTCTCTAGCCCTGAGTTACGTTTGTTTTGAAACAGGGTTTTACTATGTAGCCTTGGCTGTACTGGAACTGAGATCTGTCTGTCTCTGCCTCTCAAGTGCTATATCTTTAATACCCATTCCCATAGTCTTCCCATTTCCGCTTGTAATATTTTACTAATATACTGTTGTTGATAGTATTATTGTCTTTAAGACAAATATATCATTCTGTAAGTGCAGGATGATCTGGTATTATGTATACCTGGCTAGACTCACTTGTAGTGACCCTCCTGCCTCAGTCCCCACTGAAATAATAGACATGTACCATGACAACTAGTTCTGCTAATACTATGAGAGCACTTCAGTTGCTCTCCTGTAGTACAAAGCACCACTTATAGACCAGGTGTCATTAGTTGTACGTCTAGAAGCAACCAGGAACGGTAGGAAAGAGTCCTGAAAATAAAACAGCATTAGCTTGCTTGGCAACTACCTCTGGGGAGAACATTAATTGCTCAGGACGTCGCCTGCCTCTAGGGATGGGAGGGTCACTTCCGCAGACAAACAAGACTCAGTCTTTAAAGAGCTCAACGTCCCCAATCTCAAAGTTTTTAGTCTAGACACAAGTGGAGGATCTGGAAATAGGGCAGAAAGGAGTGTTTTCGGAAGATAAGTAAAGCTGGATGAGGTAAGATTTCTGTGGCCCCATACGAATAGTTTGGCCGTTTTCAAGGTCCAGTCATTTTCCCTACTAATCACATCGTATCTGCGTTTTAAGAGTCTACATAGAGTATCGGGCGGTGGTGGCGCACGCCTTTAAAAATCGCAGCCCTTGGGAGACAGAGGCAGGCGGATCTCTGAATTCGAGACCAGCCTGGTCTACAAAAACTAGTTCCAGGACAGGCTCCAAAGCCACAGAGAAACACTGTCTCGGAAAACAAAAAGTCTACAGTTATAAACACCCAGCATCATAACTACTGTTTAATACTACATCCTAAAGTAGCCACAATAATCAAGAGAACCTTGCAGAAAGGTGAAATTTATCTTTACCTTCCTAAATGACAAACAGCTGAAAATAGTCACAAGATGGCGGACAAAGCGCCAAAGAAAACGCTGGTCTAACAGCGCATGGGCGAAACCCAATCTCCTGGAGGAAGTCGCACAAAACGCGGGTCCTCCCGCACCATTGGCTCAACGTCCCGTCTTTTCCCTTTGCCATTGGCTACCTGTTCCTTCTCAAGTCAAAACAGCCAATCGCCGTTTCCCTAAACAAAGCCCACCCTTCCGTGGATGGGGCGGAGCGTCCGTAAAGGCGCCCGGGCCCAGGGCGCATGCGCAAGCGCCCCGCACCGTGCCGGTTAGAAGCGGATCTCTTCGGGAGGCGGTGCCGTAGTCCATGAATATTGATTACGCACCGGGGCCCCGTGCGCCCGCCCCTCCTGACTGCCGACGCTCGCTGCTCGCGCTCGGGCTCGCGATGGGGAAGAAGTCCCGGGCGGTACCCGGCCGCAGGCCCATCCTGCAGCTCTCTCCACCGGGTCCTCGGAGCAGCACGCCGGGCCGGGATCCCGACCCCGATCCGGATCCCGAGGCTGACCCGACGGCAGCGGCGACCCCGGCGGCTGCGACGGCGGCGGCCGCGACGTCGCCCGCGGTGCCTGCCATTGCTGCTCCAGAGGACTCGCCTTCGGAAGGTAAGGGCGCGCGGGGTGCCCCTGCCTGTATTTGGGACGTCCGAAAGTCGAGCACGGGGCTTGCGGCCTAGGCCTTCCAGGTGCCTCTTCGGACGCTGGGAGGAAGAGTGGCCCTGGTAGGCGAGGTACGCCTGCCTGGGCTGCCTAGGACCCGGAATCCGCCGGACTGTGGCGGTGGACTCTGGGCAGCGGAAGGCCCGGCCGGGCTCATCTGAGGCGCCATTGCGGGTGCAGGGGTTTCCCCTGGGAACCTGTGCAACCCACCGAGGCTTGGCACCCAAATGTCTCCCACATGACCCCCTACGATCTTGATAACGCAGAGGGTGGAGGGCAATTTTCCACGTGGGAGCATTGAGGTGATTAAGCCTATCCTGCTTGTCACACTTTGTTTCAGTTTTATTGAAATTGAAGACAGCCACTCTTTAGAAGGAAACAAGCTCATTTTTTTTTTCTTTATGCCAGACAAAGCATCGGTAACCCTCGAATTGTAGGAAAGTAACAAAACCTGTGGGTTTGCCTGGAACTGTATTTGTGTTAAGACTAACAATTAATACATGGGGTAGATGCGGGAAAAGCTGTGCCATTATCTAGTAGAAAGGACATAATGTATGGAAACCTACAGATTTATTTATGCATTTTAATTGTTAAGTATTGCAGGTGCCACTTTCATATAATGTTCACATTGTTACTGTCGATATCACTAAATGAATGGAAGATTCTAGATCAGCTTTTTTTTTTTTTTCACCTCCATAATTTGAACCAGTGATACACACTGGTTTTTTAAGTTGATGAAATCCAGGCATGAAAGGTCAAATTTTGATGTTTGCCTCTCGTGTTTTCTCTGGTCCACCGCCTCACTGCGGTTCCCTTTTGTTCATTTCAAATACAGATGAACAGGAAGTGGTGGTGGAGGTTCCCAAAGTTGTTCAGAATCCTCCCAAACCAGTCATGACCACCAGACCCACAGCCGTTAAGGCAACAGGTACGGGTTTTTGTTATTCTTTTATCTCTTCTCTCAAATATCTTTTATTAAGTTAAGATTGAGTGTGTGCCTGGATTGTCCTGTTGGATGGTTGTACGTGTTGCTAATTTACTATTTCCCATAAAAAGGAATTAAAGTATTTCTGGGGTTGGGGTTGTGGTAGAGTCCTTGCCTCAAAGATGCAAGGCTCTGGGCTCCGGTCTTACAAAAAAATAGATTAGCAATTTTGGTTTTTTGAGACAGGGTTTTTCTGTGTAGCTTTGGAGCTTGTCCTGAAACTTGCTCTATAGACCAGGCTGGCCTCGAGCTCAAAGAGATCTTCCTGCCTCTGCCTCCCAAGTGCTGGGATTAAAGGTTTGTGCCACCACAAACTTTTAAGTAACATGGAAGTTTATTTATTTTCAGATCATTTAGTTACTGCTATACCCCAAATCGGTTTGTGCCAGTCTCTGTGTATGTGCTCACACACAAGATTGACTGCTTCTGAGGATGCTTAACTTGTTTCTTTTTAAGACAGAGTGTCCCATGTGAACCCCACCCTTAGCTAGACTGACTAGACAAAAAGTGGTACTTTTCAGTACCACTCCTCACCCCCAGCACTGTGCTTTTCAGATCACTGCCTCCACCAAAATACAGTACAAGGGATCTGAATGCAAGTTCTTAGGCATTTTACAAACTGAGCCTTCTATCCACAAGTTTTTTTTTTGGGGGGGGGCCCCTTTGGTGTCTTTGAGGGGCACCAATTATGCCTTATTTTAACTACTGATAACTCCTGCCTTTACCTCCCAAAGTACTATGATTATAGGTGTGCTCTACCACACCCCACTCATTTAACACACTGCCTTGGTTGCTACCAATTAAATATTCGTGAAGCTGGAAATTCCTCTTAAGTATCTCCCACCCCATACACTTGCCAGTCCCACTGTGCTGTAATATTTGTGGCAATTATTATCATCACTCAACTTTCATTCAGGACAGTTGTTGGGCTGAAACTTACTCATCTATAAAGTGGATCTACTACTATAGTCCTAAGTTGCTTGGGGTATTAAATACTGCATATATATCTTCATAAATTATATATGTATATTTAATTCAGACATTTATAAAGCAAGAATTTTTTTTCTGTATTTTACATGTATTGAAGATTTAAAGTTTTTTTTTGAGGTTTATTGGGTATACAGTGTTCTGCTTGCATGTATGGCCGCAGGCCAGAAGAGGGTGCTAGATCTCATTATAGATGGCTGTGAGCCACTATGTGGTTGCTGGGAATTGAACTCAAGACCTTTCTTTGGAAGAACAGCCAGTTCCCTTAACCACTGAGCCATCTCTCTAGCCCCCGATAAAATGTATTTTAAGATTAATTTTATTTTTACATTTTCCATTTTTATTCATGTGTCTATGTGAGTGCCATACATGGGAGCCTGAGGAGGCCAGAAGAGAATGTTGGATCCCATTAAGCTGGACATGCAGGTGGTTGTGAGCTGCCCGACATGGGTGCTGAGATCTGAACTCTGATCCTCTGGAAGAACAGCTGTCAAGCACAGATTAAAATATTTATTACAGTAACTTTAGTATTAGTCTAAGATGAGAATGTATGTTTGTTTGATGGTTTGTTTATATTTGTCTTAATGCACTTTAGTTCGTGCACCTTTCAATTTGAGAAGTAATCATTTTTTACTTAGAAAATATGTACATGTACAACACCTGTCCTGAATAGGTATTTAATAACCAAATTTTGTTACTTAGAGAGTGAGGTTCAGTGATCCATGGCATATTTTGGGGGAGGTTATCAAGTATGTGTGGATTGAGTTTATTATCTTGAAGGATTTGGTGGGGTAGAAACAAGTCACATCGTATAGCTCTGGCTGGCCTGGAACTTGCTGTGTAATCCAGACTGACTTTGAATTAGGTGCTCTGATTAAAGACTTGTGCCACCAGGCCTGACGCCTTGAGGAATATTATATAATTTATATCTGTGGTGAGAATTTCATACAGGTATTTGTACCTCTCTTCCTCTTTTTCGTGTGTTGTTTTTGAGACAGGATTTCATTAGCCTTGGTTGCCTCCTGAGTGTTGGGATTTAAGACATGTATCCTTATGCCCAGCTTTTATGATCATCTTGCCTCAGTTTCCTTTGTGCTAAGAATACATGCTTGGGTCACCATGCCCAGCATGGGGTGGGTGGGTGGGTTATTAGAATTGAATCCAGTTAAGTATATAATTTTCAACTGAGCGAAATCCTAGTCCTAATTTAATGATTATTCTGATTTTGAAATTAAGTTCTAACTTGTAAGTAAATAAAATGTTAACTCTGATTAAAGAACCATGTGGTTGGGGCTAGGGGATTAAAACAATAGGCTGAAAAAAATAAAATAAAAACATAGGCTGCTCTTCCAGAGGGTTTGGGTTTGATTCTCAGTGGCTTACAATTGTCTGAAACTCCAGTTTCAGGGGATACAGTGCCTTTTGGCTTCTGCGAGGGCACCAGACATGTCAAATACCACATATGTATGTGTAGCCAAAATATTTGTGCACAAAATAAAATTTAAAAACAAGAAAACAAAACACGTGGTTTGGCTGAGGGTGTCACTTAGCAAAGGCATGAAGTTCAGAGTTGGGATCCCTAGAATCTTTGTGAAAATTGGATGGAAATCGTAGCCTGCCTGTAATTTCAGTAAGGAGTTGGAATTGTTAGAACAAGCTGGGTAGCCAGACTAGCTCCAGGTTTAGTAAGAGACCCCACTTAGGGACTTCTATGCATACATGTGCATATGTATGCAAATATACATATAACCTCATACATATATGCATACCACACCTAGTAAATAAAAGGGAGAACTCTCTAGTCTTATAAGTGCTATTAACTGCTAATACATATCTCTAGCCCTTGATTGTTTTCTTAAATATTTCATAGAATACATTGGTGTTGATGTTACTAGTGTTTTCCTTTTTATTTCTAGGAGGTCTGTGCTTACTTGGTGCTTATGCTGACAGTGATGATGATGAGAGTGATGTTTCTGAAAAAACAGCACAATCCAAAGAGCCAAATGGAAACCAGTCAACTGACATTGATAGTACCCTGGCCAACTTCCTAGCGGTTAGTGATGCTTTTTGGTGCTTGTTTGTTCGTTTGTTTTGAAAGAGTATTTTTGTAGCCCTGTCCTGGAACTATATAGACCAGGCTGGTTTTGAACCTGCAGCTATCTGCCTACTTCTGCCTCCCAAGGGATTTGAGGTGTAAGCACCATGCCCAGTCATTTATTGCTATTTTTATTCTATAGGAGATTGATGCTATAACAGCACCTCAGCCTGCAGCTTCTTTGGTAGCTTCTGCTCCACCTCCAACTCCACCTCGACCAGAACCAAAGGAAGCATCAACACCTGCCCTTTCTTCCACCTCATCAAATGGAACAGACACAGCCCAGACACCAGGGTGGCATTATGATACTCAGTGTTCACTGGCAGGAGGTAAGTGTGGTCCCTGTTTCAAGAAGACTTAAAACTTTGACATTAGTCTTCCTAAGCATTAAACCAGATGCTTTAGCTCTAGGGCTTGGAATTCTGGCCTTTAAATGTAGTATTTGGAAGCTAGTAGATAGGGTGATGGTCTTTACCAGTAGCTGATGTGCTAGGTGAGTAATAAAAGCCTTTTGTAATAAAAAACTTTTGAGAGTTCAGAATACATTTTGAGTATCACACAGCTTTTAATTCTGTGCCCCAAATTGGATTTTTTATTTTTTTGAGACAGGGTTTCCCTGTGTAGCCTTGGAGTCTGTCCTGGAACTCGATCTGTAGACCAGGCTGGCCTCAAACTCACAGAGATCCACCTGCCTCTGCCTCCTGAGTGCTGGGACTAAAGGTGTGTGCTACCACACCTGGCTATGAATAAATTTTTATTGAAAAAAAATTATTCTTTTGGTGTGGAGAAGTTGTTTACAGGGAACATTTAGTAAGATCTAAAGATAAATTTTGGGTATTACAATGCAGAGGGGTTTCTCTTTAGTGGTATATGCTGGGGATGTTAAACTCTGCAACATAGATTTGAGAACCCTTGTGTTAAGTTGTCATCTTCTAACAGCTGTCTTGGGGTAGAAGTCAGGACTATATGTCTGAAATAAACACTACACACACAGAGAGTTTACATTTGAAATGTTTTGTTTTCTTGCAGTGGGAATTGAGATGGGAGATTGGCAAGAAGTCTGGGATGAAAACACAGGTTGCTATTATTATTGGAACACACAAACAAATGAAGTAACTTGGGAGTTACCCCAGTATCTAGCCACACAGGTGCAGGGAATACAGCATTACCAGCCCAGGTAAGGATAGCTCTGAAGAAGAAATTATGTAGGAGAAAGTAGCTGCTATGGGTATTTACCTTTTGTTTGTCTTGACTCTCCCATTCCCAGTTCTGTAACAGGTACTGAAGCTGGTTTTGTGGTAAATACAGATGGATATACAAAAGAGAAAACAGTTTCTGTTTCCAGTAATAAAAGTGGACCAGTCATAGCCAAGCGAGAAGTTAAAAAGGTTAGTATTATAACCTACTGCAGATTTATCTAGTCTTGTGTTAACAAAATGATGTTGTCATGGCTGCCTTTGCTTCCTACTAGTTTCCCTTTGCTGTCTAGAGGATAATAGATTGTAGTTCAAACACTGCCTTCCTAAAGTAGTGTTTTCTTTTTGTACATGCAGTGGTATATATAACATACTAATATGTAGGGGGTACATATTAGTTGTTTTGTGAGTATCCAGTAATTAAGAAGCTAGGTAATAAAAATAATTGAATGTTCAAAGGGATTTTTTTGAGAGTTGTGCCTCAATGCTTTTATTTTCTGAAGGAAGTGAATGAAGGGGTCCAAGCCCTTTCCAACAGTGAGGAGGAGAGGAGAGGGGTGGCAGCCACATTGCTCGCTCCCTTATTACCTGAAGGAGTAAAAGAGGAGGAAGAGAGATGGAGAAGAAAAGTGATTTGTAAAGAAGCAGATCCGGTGTCAGAGGTTAAGGAAGCAAGCACAGCAGAAGAAGAAGCGGGGACGATCATAAAGCCACAGGAGGTTACCCTGGACAGCTTAGAAGACCCTTCCCAGGAGGATCTTTGCAGTGTTGTTCAGTCTGGAGAGAGTGAGGAGGAGGAAGAACAAGATACTCTGGAGCTGGAGCTAGCATTGGAAAGGAAAAAAGTAAGATTCTGAAGATTTCTTTGTAATTAGTTACCTTTCTCTTTGCCACAACAAAATGTCTGACATAAGCATCTTGAGGAAAGAAGGGTGTGGTTTGGATCACAGTTGAAGGTTCAGCCCATCCAAGTGGTGGTGAACATGTGTATGTCCACAGCTAGGAAGTGAAGATGAGTGCTGGTGTCAGCTGGCTGCTGTTCCCATTTTTTATTCATTCTAGGACCCCCACTTCATGGCATGATGCTTTCCACATTAAAAGTGGGTCTTCCCTTAGTCAAAATTCTCTTGAAAAACTCTTTGTAACATACCCAGAGGTGAATCCTGGGTTATTCCAAAACTAGTCAAGTGGACAGTGGTGATTAACCACAGATTTAAGGGCCATACTTCCTCTTATTACTGTTAGACTCGGATGGTTATGCTCAACTTAAACTATTATTGGGACTTTGCTTTTGCTCATTACTTCACCTGTGTTACTTATTTTTAAATATTTCTTTTATATTTACGAGTATTGGGTGTACATTTATGCATGCCCAGTGCCTACAGATCTTCAGATCCCAAGAACTGCAGTTACAGATGATAGTGAACTACCATGTGGGTGCTGGGAACTAAACCCGTGTCCTTTACAAGAGCAACAGGTGCTCTTAACTACTGAACCATCTCTCCAGTTCTCTAAGTTTTTATAAGCCAAAGAGTTACAGAATTGCTGATTTGGTTTGTCTGGTGGTACTTTTTTTTTTGGTAGTTATCAACCATTTTTGGTAGTTGTCAACCAATAAATAGATCTTGTGAGATAATAGAAAAAGTTGACTATTCCTGTGTCATTCTTCAGTAAAAGGGGTAAAGGTGGGGTGTCTTCAAACTTGTGATATTTCTGACTGCCTTAGCCTCCTGAGTACTGGGATTGCAGACATGTTCTACCATACTCAATTCTATATTCTTTTGGGATTTTATCATCTTTTCCCCTCTTTGGGAGGTAGTCATCCACTGCTGTCTTTAAAAAGTCCAGTTTGAAGCAGGATTTTTTTTATGATGTATTTGAGTACAACTTTATGCCAGAAGAGGACATCAGATCCCATTATAGATGGATGATTGAGCCACCATGTGGTTGGTTGGAATTGAATTCAGGACCTCTAGATGAGCAGCCAGTGCTCTTAACCTCTAAACCATCTCTTCAGCCTATAAGCAGGATCTAACATGGGTCAGTAACAGTAAGTAACCTGAAGCTTTGCCTGTTTGAAGATTTGAATCAGTAGGGGACCATCTAATAAAGCTACTTCCATTATGTGTGTATATGTCAGGTTTGTATGTGACTCTAGAACCTGCCCCCCCCCATCTAAATTTGTTACTGTAATTGTGAATTAACATTTGTTTCCCCTTTTTTGAGACAAGGTTTCTCTATGTAACCTTAGCTGGCCTGGAATTGACCTTGCTCTCCTGGAACTCAGAGATCCACCTGCCTCTGTCTCCCAAGTGCTGGGATTAAAGGTGTGTGACACTACTACCTGGCTTTTTTGTTTTGGTTCCCGCCCCCAAACTGAGGACCAAACCCAGTACCTTTTGTTTGCTAGGCAAGCACTCTACCACTGCACTAAGTCCCCAATACTATGAATGCACATTTGTTAATAGCAGAAGAATATTGAGCATGGAGCATAATATTGAGCTATAAAGGAAAGTGGTTGAAAATGCTGCTGCTTAGTGGGCGGTGGTGGCGCACACCTTTAATCCCAGCACTTGGGAGGCAGAGGCAGGTGGAGCTCTGAGTTCGAGACCAGCCTGGTCTACAAGAGCAAGTTCTAGGACAGCCTCCAAAACCACAGAGAAACCCTGTCTTCAAAAACAACAATAACAAAACTGCTGCTTTTCAAAAGTTTTAAATTCTAAGAACAGTCATGACTGTCTCTCTTGGTACTTAGAGTACTTTTAGCTGTTGATAAGTAGTTAATGTTTTGCTAACTTTATTAACATGTTCTTTGTAGGCAGAGTTACGAGCCTTAGAAGAAGGAGATGGTAGTGTGTCAGGGTCTAGTCCACGTTCTGATATCAGCCAGCCAGCATCTCAGGATGGAATGCGTAGACTCATGTCTAAAAGAGGAAAATGGAAGATGTTTGTTCGAGCTACCAGTCCAGAATCTACCAGCCGAAGTTCTAGTAAAACTGGACGAGAGACTCCAGAAAATGGAGAAACTGGTAATTTGTACTTTTCATAAACTAATTCCTATCCCACCCCTCTATCTTGTGCTAGAAATTGAAGCAGGCGAGGAAGCCTCATTACCACTTCGCTCCATCCTTAGAGCAGTAAACTTCAGAGTTGAACTGTGTAGGATAATAAGCCTCCATGGTTTTCTTCTTACACAATAGCAGGATTTGTTGAAATTGTGGAAATGAAGATTATTTTCACATCTCTTGATTTTTGTTTTACTTGTAAAGATCTAAGAATTTGAGAGGTTGACATGAGTCAGGTCCTGTATCTGTTACAAAGTAGGGATTGTACTTTTTTCAACAGCTGGAAGTAAGATTGTCCCAGCCATTTTTTGTTTTCTGATGTTTTCTTGTGTGTGTGTGTGTGTGTGTGTGTGTGTGTGTGTGTTTGTGTAGATGAGAGGACAATGTTGAGGAGTCAGTTTTCTCCTACCTTTACAAGGGCTCTTAAGCACAGGTCACCTGCATTACCATTACCTTCTTTACCCACTGAACCATACTAGCTCCGATTTTATTGCTTGGTGAAAAATTGCCCTAACTTATGTGTAAGACCTGAGAATGCTCCCTTGCTTACTGCCTTTAGGTGAATGTGAACATCAGAGGTCTACTTCTGGCAAAGAATCTTCCTCTATTCTCTGTAAAAGTTACCCTCTTTGTTAAAGGTAGATAGACAACTTGATTTTGTCGTTGGACCCAAGTTGTTTTTGTTCTGGGTATGGTGGAAGAGGCCCTGTTCAATTCCCAGTTAATCAGAGAGCCCCAAATAAATCTAATGTTTTAATTTATATTTGAACCTAATTTTGTGTTAGAAAATTAGGAATAACATTTGAGCACCAAGCCTTTCTTCAGTATACTTACCAGAAGGCATCTCTTATCAGTTCTAGCTAAAATGCTATCAAATAATACAAGTAATAAACAAATAACATACATTCTTATTTGTATCACCCTCCCCCCGCCAATAATAGAATCAGTTCATGGTGGCATACCTGTAATCCCAGCACTTAGGAGACCTGAAATAGAAAGATTACAAATTACAGATTAGCCTGGGATATATGATGAATTCCAGCTAGCATGCAAAATAGAGCAGCAAAACCCTGTCTCAAAAAGTAAATAGATGGCGGCTAGTTAGGAGTACTTGTTGCTCTTACAGAAGACCCAGTTTCAAGATCTAGCACCCTTGGGGTGCTTCACAGCCATCTGTTACTCCAGTTGCAAGAGATCTGGCACTTTCTCTGGCCACTATGTTTGAGCACGAAGATACACAGACATGAAAACAAACCACTCATACACATAAAATAGAGTAAATAAAAATATAAGATCTTTTAAAAGTAAATAAATAGGACTCAGTGAGATGGCACAGCAGATTTTTTTAAAAAAGCATTTGCCACTCAGGATGACAATCTGATTCCCAGGATCTGAAGAGAGGGAGGGAGGGAGTCCTCCATACATGCACCATAGCGTGCACTCATCCACATTCCCATACCCCACACCTGCACAATAAATACGTACATTTTTTTAAAGTAAATAAAGAATCTGGAGCCAGATGGTGGTGGCACACACCTTTAATCCCAGCACTCAAATAGCAAAGGCAGGTGGATCTCTAGAGTTCGAGGCCAACATGGTCTATAGAGCAAGTTCCAAGACAGCCAGTGTTACACAGAATACGAACAAAAATATGGATAGGATGGCATCTGCCTTTAATCCCAGCACTTGAAAGGTAAGCAGACAGCCAGATCTCTTGAATTCTAGACCAGTCAGGGCTATATTGTGTAGCCTGTCGTCTTGTCCTTCTTCTTCTTCTACTTCTGTAAATAATACAGATGAATAACATGAAATCTTTTTATTTTTTCTTATCCATGTTTCCTATCCTTACTATACATTTTGTCTTTATATATATACATACACTCTTCCAGATATTTCCCTTTTTGTTTTTTTTAATGAAAATAAAATATAGGCCACCCAAATATCTGAAAAGGGTGGGATATATAAGTTGTGCATTTTCATTAAGGAATTCTATGCAGCTTTGCAGAAATGAATAAACCTTAATTGTGGGTAACAACAATGAACTTTTGAGACTGTAGTGTTGAACAAAAAAAAAAGAGACATGGAGAAATGCACATGCTGATCTGTATGTTGTAAGTCAGAAAACGGGCACAAGTTTGTGCTTAACGCTATGTCCTTGATGAAACTAAGAAATGAATGACACCATCAAAATAAAGGGCATTTGTAGGAAGGTTGTAGGTGGGAAGGTTGATTACAGATGAAGCTGAATTGTAGTTCCTTTGTTCTTGTTGTTAACACTGTATTATATGTATTTGTCAAAGTGTTCAACAATCTACTCTAAAATATGCTATAACATGTATCTTTATTCACATTGTAGTGTTACTACAAATAGATGCTTAGTTATGCATATTTTGGATGTGTGTGTATTGCATTTCAGCTTTTATTTGAAAACATTTTTAAACATGATTATAGTATATACACTTTATTTTTGTTTTTATGTAAAATATAAAGATTTTCTTCATTAAGCTTTCTTGTAAAAGGAACTATAGGCCAAAAGCAAGATAATGTTCTGCACACAAGAATATCTCCATGTGTGGTATGTGGTGGAGTGCCCCTGCATTTAATTAGGACCAAGTGATGACATCAGGCATTAAAGGGGGAAGAAGAAATACTCTAGTCTGTCAGATTCAAGAAGCAAACTTGACACAAACGCTCCAAATAAGACCAAGTTAGCAACTTTAACTAGGACACTACAGGTTCTACAGGGCAGCTTCTGAGACTGTAGTGTGCACATGGACACAGCAAGGAAGAGCTAGTTAAAGAGGGACTGGAATAAGGAAATTTTCACTAAATCAAATTAACTTCTTATCACCTGCCAAAACAAAATGAATGGGAGAGCACGTGAGTGAGTGTTGGTATACTCAAGGCATATTGTACCAGTGTCTGTATTCGGAGTTAATCAAAACTTTTTAATTGGTACAGATGAAGCATTAATGGTCTTGACCTCTTACCAAGTTCAGACATGTTATATTTTAGATGGTGTATATACAAACATGTTAAGACAACATTGATTCTGTACTAGAGGATAACCAGTGACATTGTTTATTGATGACATTATCATCAAATATTCCATCGTCTAAAAGGAAACTGCTGCAAAAATGTTTTCTCAGAGATTGGGAAAACTACGACCTTGCTCTCTCTGATTTACTTCAAAGTCACTGTGTCTTCTAACAGTAGAGTCCTTCAGCTTGAAGACTGAAAGATTAGTCCTGACCTTCAGCAGTGGTGAAGTGGCCCCACCCAACCCTCATGATCTGTGGGTTGCCCATACCAATCTTGAGGATGTTGGTGGGCAGCCTTTAGGCATCATTCAGCTTCTGTGACCTGGTGATCAGGTGTCCACTACAGTCTTCACAGCCACCTGTCTTGGAAACTTAGTGCTCACACCTGTATAAATTTGATAAATTTTGCTTAATTACCCTACAGTCTTACAGTAGGAATAGTGATGCTTAAAATGAATTTGTGCCTGCCACAGATCAGTTTCTAAACTAAAATTGCTATAAGTTAGTAAGTCAGACCTAATAGATTCAGTTTTGTATCATTTGAAGATGGCCTGAGTTCAATTCCTGGGACCCATATAAAGGTAGAAGATAAAGGTAGAAGGAAAGGATCATCTTCACAAAGTTGTTCTCTGATTTCCACGTGTGCACAGTGGTATGTGTACACAAAACACACACTTTTATGATTGCAGTTTAAAAAGCCTAAGGGTATCACTGTCTGTGTCTATAATTCTGACACTTAGGATGCAGAGCTTTTAGGATCATGTGTTTCAGGACAGTAAGATCATATTCTGACTTTTATTTTGTTGTATCTTAAGAGTTTGTAAACTGTGTTGTTTTGTATTCCTGTCTGGCCGAGCTAGCTCCCTGTGTAGTTTTTGGTGGTGTTGAACTAATTTTTTCTGCCTTCTTCCCTTAAATGTTGGGGTCATGGATGTATGCTAGCGTGTCAGTTGTGAAGCGCTGTGAATGGAGAGAAGGGGTTTTGGTCAGGTTGCTTCAACATCTCTGCTCTCCCCAACCAGAGTAGCTGGGACTATTGATACAGACAACTATATGAATCTTGATTGTCTGTAGTCCTAGCCATTTCAAGAGGTAATTGGGTGGGTGTTGGTAGTGGTGATTTATTTTTTTGAGAGGGTGTATCTCCAGCTGTCGTAATAGTAGCCTGTGTAGACCAGATTGACCTTGAACTGAAAGAGATTCTCTTGCTTCTGCTTAAGTGCTGGAATTAAAGGTATGTACCACCATGACTGGCACTGGTGATGCTTTTGAGACAGGAAATGGCTGTATAGTCCAGATGGGCCTGAAACTCTGGATCCTTGTTACTTCATTTTCCAAAAAAAAAAAAAAAAAAAAAAAAAAAAAATACTAGAAAGACAGACTTGACTCCCTTTGTGCCTGGCAGCTGAAGTCGATGCTGCTATGGTTTTAAAAGTTTTCCTCCTATTCCACCCAACCGTGTATTCCAGGTTTGATATCTAGCTTTTTTGTTAGACTGGAAGTGTTGATATTCTGGAAGAAAGGATGGGAAAGAGAAAGGGAAAGCAGAAGCTGTTAAGGTAAATATAGTGGTAGAACAATGTGATTTTTGTGGTCCCCTTTGAGAAGGGTCCCCCTTGAGAACAAGTTATTAGAACCTTGATAAAGCTGGCAAAAGAGAGAACTAATACTATTTTTCAGGTGTCTGCTGCAAAGAGAATAAAATATGTTTTGGAGCTCTCATTTGTCTATTTTGGCTTAATTTCATGGGTTTTTTGTTTTATTTTGTTTTTTTTGCAGCAATAGGTGCTGAAAATTCTGAAAAAATAGATGAAAATTCAGACAAAGAGGCAGAAGTAGAAGAATCTTCTGAGAAGATAAAAGTCCAAATAGCACCTAAAGAAGAAGAACAGGATTTGAAAGTATGGGTATTTGTGGAACTTAACTGGGGAGGTGGGGAGGGAGACTTGGTCTCACATTATAGCTCACTCAGGCTGGCCTGATAATCTGAATCCTCCTGCCTCAATCTCCCAAGTGCTGGGATTACAGGTTTAGCCATTAAACTGTTATTAACTGATGTTAGCAAATCATAGGTTTTATTGTGTCCAAAACCAAAATTTTCATTTCATTAGATAGAACAAAAGATTTAAGGCTGGAATAAGAATGATCTGAGAAATTATGTGAAAATTATAAATACTTTGAAATTAAGCCTTTGCTGGAAAGAAATAACCTACCAATATTCACAGTGTACAAATATCCCACAACAAGGAAGCAGAAGGCAGGCAGAAGTGTCTGCTATGAAAACTCAAGCCCCTGCCTCCACTCACATCTCCCACTAACCCTAACCCTAACCCTAACCCTAGGCTTCTGTGGTTTACAAGTACTGAGAAGATGAACAGACTTAATTCCTATGTGAAATAGTTGTCTTTAAATGAAGGCAAATTTGTTTCCAATTGCATAGGGGACCTCGTGAAATTCTTTGATACCCACGGGGGGGATTTATAACCAGGATCCCATCTGGATACAGCCAAATCTGAGCTGTTTGAGTCTTCTCTGTCAAGCAAAATAGTATATAACTGAATGCACATCCTCCATAAACGTTAAATCTCCTCTGGGTTACTAATGCCTAATACTGCATTAGGATTATTTGAATGGTTCTTTAGAGACAATATTGTTACGTAGTTTAGTCCTTCAGCCTCAGGAATGCTGAGATTATAGACCTGTACTACCACACCTAGCTTACACTGTATTGAGGAATATGACCAAAAATGTCGTCCTAAAATATTTAGTCTGTGGTTGGTTCAGTGTGGATCTTGAAATGTGATTTGTTGGAAAAAGCTATAGCATGGTATTCTGTATTGTGCAACCATGTAGAAGGGACTCGGGAAATAATAGTTTTCTATAGAGCAAGTTCTAGAACAGGCTCCAAAGCAATACAGAGAAACCCTGTCTCGAGAAACAAACAAAAAATTTAAAGCTTCAGCTTCTGGCTAACATAAGTAAAATTTGACTATTGGAATATTCATTATATTTTCCCTTCAGCTATTTTAAGATATAATTGACATATTTACCATATATAAGATGTTTTGATATATATGTATCACTATATATAATTAGATGTTTTGAGACTGTATTACTACAAGCCCTGCTAATCAATTGCCACCTCAAAGATCTTTCTTTGGTATAGGGGTGTTGGAGTATTTGAATTTCAGCAATACTTTGTGGTATTGTTGACTGTAGTCACCATGTTATACATTAGAGCCCTAATTTTATGAGTGAATGGTTTCTACCCTTGGCAGCAACCATCACTTTGTTATTCTCTTTATGTAAATTTGATGTGTTTAAGGTTAGGGTCTCTGTTCAGCTGTTGAAATCCATGTTTGAATGCATTGTAATAGTAGATAAGCATTTTGTTCATTATGTGAATTTGATTATAAAGTAGCATTCTAAACATAACTAGTTACAGTAATTTGTGTGCAGATAATAAATTTCCAGTATTTGTAATAATAAATGGAAGACTTTATATAATATATATAAATGAATGCTGGAGTTCTGGTTTTAATTTTTTTCTGTTCTTTTATAGTTTCAGATTGGAGAACTGGCAAATACCCTGACAAGTAAATTTGAATTCCTTGGAATTAATAGACAGTCCATCTCCAATTTTCACATGCTGCTCTTACAGACTGAGGTAATTCAGCTGGTTTTGCTATACATGTCACATTGTTGTTTTATTTTTTATTTACCTTTTGTTTTGAGACAGAACCTCATTACATAGCCATAGCTGGCCTGGAGCTTAATATACAGTCCAGGATTGCCTCACATTCAGAGATCCTTCTGGCTTTGGTCCCAGAGTGCTGGGACTAAAGGCCCTTACACAAACTCAGCCTACTTGTTCATGAAAATTTTATTTATTTATTTGCTTTCTTTCTTTTCTTAATTATTTAATGACTTTTCAAGGCTCAGTCTCTCTGTGTAGCACTAGCTGTCCTGGAAATCTCTCTGTAGACAAGTCTGGCCTCAAACTCAGCAAGATTGCCTGCCTCTGCCTCCTGAGCGCTAGGATAAAAGGCGTGTGCCACCACTGCCCTGCTGAAACTTCTATTTTTATTCATGTGTCTGTGTGTGTTATATGTGCTCAGGTGCCTAAAAAGGCCAGAAGAGGACTCCAAATCCCCTTAAGCTGGAGTCACAGGCATCTGTGAGCTACCTGACATGGGTGCTAGGAGTCAAAAACAAGTCTTTAACTGCCAAGCCAACTCTCCGGTCTCTGTTTAATTTTAATGATTGTGTGGTGTTGATGCATATGTCTGTTCATTTGTGCATGTATGCAAGTGGAGGCCTGGACTGAACATTAGGAATCTTTCTCCATTTCATTTCACCTTATTCATTGAGACAACTGTCAGTTGAATCTAGAACTTTACCTGTACAGGTTGTCTGTTTGCCCAACTTGCTTATGGTGCTTGCCTGGCTTCTGTGTTGTGGGATTTGGGGATTTTATCTCTGGTCCTGATACCTGTGGCAAGCATTTTAATCACTGAGATATTTCCATAGCCCATAAATGGTGTTTGAATATGGTATCTTAAGAATGTTTTACTGGGGCTGGAGAGATGGCTTGAATGGTTGAGAACACTGACTGTTCTTCCAGAGGACCTAGATTTATTTCCTATCACACATATCAGAACTCAAAACTGTCTGTGAACTCTAGAATCCAACACCCTCACACAGACATACATGCAGGCAAAACACCAATGTCCACAAAATAAAGATAAATAAAAAAAAAATAAACAATGTATTTTGTAACTGCAATCCCAGCACCTGGTAGGCAGATGCCAGCTGGATCTCTTGAGATTGAGGCCAGTCTGATGTACAGAGTGAGTTCCAGGACAGCCAGGGCAGAAACCCTATCTTGAGTCACCCTACCCCACAAAAAATGTGTTTTGTAGACTGGGGAGATATCATAGTGGGTATAAACACTAGTACAAAAGCTAGATGACCTTTGTCCCAGAACCTATTAGGTGAGAACAAGCTCTACACAGTTGTCCTCAAACTGAAGCACATCACACACACACACAGAGTAATAAATAATTTTGTATGGGAGAGGTTGAAATATGGTCTCTCTCTTTAGTCCTGGCTGTCCTGGAGCTTGCTGTGTAGACGAGGCTATCCTCAAATTTACAGCTCCTCAGGCCTATGCTGTGATTAAAGACATGTACCACCACTTCCATTGCATGAGTTTTTAAAAATGTGTTTTGCACTTTTAACTTTGATATTAATATTTGAGCTATTATAGTTGAAGTAATAACACTTTATTAATTAATGCAAATGCCACCTTAATAGAAGATGAGATTTCTTTGCTTTCTTGGTCTGCTCATCTGTTAGAGCATAGTGATACAGTGTTTGAGTCTCTTTTACCTCTGTTTTCTGATATCAGTTTTAATTTTGTTGATTCTAGACTCGAATTGCAGACTGGCGGGAAGGGGCTCTTAATGGAAATTACCTAAAACGAAAGCTTCAGGATGCTGCAGAACAACTAAAACAGTATGAAATAAACGCCACTCCTAAAGGCTGGTCCTGCCACTGGGACAGGTACGCACTCTTCTCCCCTTTTCACCTTTCACCTTTGACATCTCAGACATGATTTGTGATCACCACCACCTGACGCCATGACAGCCTGTCTGGAGACTTGAGAGCAGCTGGGCAGGCAAAGTGCTGCAAGCAGAGTTTGGCCAGCCATACATTCGGAAAAACAATGTTTAAAAGTGTTCCATGTAACGGATTTTTTCCCAAGATTGGACAAAGCCGGTTTTTACTCTCCAGAGTGTTGCACGGAGTAGGGCGGGCTTGGGGGTTAAGCGCATGCGAGAGCTCTGTGCGCTTTACAGGACCTCTGGAAGCAACTACTCCTGATTAACCTCGGTGAAGTTAAGGAAAACTTCGTGACTGAAGATGTGAAAGAAGAACAAGATTACTATCCTCTGCCAGCAGGTCAGATGAAAACATTTCTTTTTATATTTGGCTTTTCTTGATTTTTTTTTTTTTTCGTTATTTGAAATCTTTGCTCTTTTATTTTTCAGCTCCCAGATCCTCTCCCTCTCTTTAGCTTTCACTGTGTTTGATATCAAGAATTTGAAATGAATTCCACGGTCCAAGAGGGGAAGAGTCACCTTTCACTTCGATGTTCTCTTCTTTGGAAGGGAAATTAGTGTTCTAGGCAATCGAGTCCCTTCATTAATGAGACTTGGAACCCGGTTATGCATTGGCAAAACAAAACAAACAAACAAAAAAAACGAAAAGAAATGATTTCTAATTCGTCTGTTGGAGAGGGTTAAGGGCTGTATTCACAGAGCTGCTGGCAGTGCAAAAAGCTTTGAATTTTCCTGGGTTCTCCATCCTCAGTTGTCAAAGCTCTTTGTTGCCTTTGTGAATAGCAGTCCATAAGAAGAGGTTCGTCCCTGTGAGAGCAGACTGCCTGCTGTCCTGGGACAGGACCAAATGGAAGTGTCTCTGTAGGAGAACAGATTTTAAAACATGTGTTTTCTTTCTTGTAATTTAGGGATCATAGGCGATATTTCTATGTAAACGAACAGTCGGGTGAATCTCAGTGGGAATTCCCAGATGGTGAGGAGGAGGAAGAAAGCCAAGCACAGGAAGTTAGAGATGAGATTCTTCCTAAGCCCACTGTGAAAGACAAGACCTGCATTGATCCAAACTCTACAGACGCCTCTGAGAATTCCACAGGTACGACAGTCTATTCTGTTCTCGTTGAACAACAGTTTTGGAGAAAAGACATTAATACCTTTATTATAGGACAATTTATAGCATAGTAATAAGATGCTAATTGCAAAGTCCAACTTAAACTAAGAGAATGAATGCATGAGTTACATAATACACATGGCTTTTTGACTAGTCAGACTACTATCTTTTGATCTTAAAAGATTTCATGTGGTTGGGCGTTGGTGGCGTATGCCTTTTGTCCCAGCACTCAGGAGGCCAAGGCAGGCGGATCTCCATGATTTCGAAGCCAGAGCAAGTTCCAGGACTGGCTCCAAAAATATACAGAGAAACCGTGTCTCAAAAAATCTAACAAAAAAAGATTTCATGTAATAAATATTAATTCGTACCTTTATGAACTCTGTTAATAAGTACACATTTTATGTACCAATTAAATAAAAATAATTCACATTAAACTTAATAAAAGAGACATATACTTCACAGAGAAAACTTTAGATCTACAAAAGCAGGAATGGCCATGCAGAGGACTAGGTAGTTGGATTGCCTACATCTGTGAAGTAAAAATAAGAATTGTTCTTTATTTTATACAGTTCTATTGGTATTTTACTCTATTCTAATCATCAATGAAAATTGCCAGTGATATTTTTAGATAAGATCAGAAATGGGTGAAATTCCCATTAAGATGCTCTTAGATAACTGCATGGTGGTGACACAAGCCTTGGTTGGTTTAGGGTTTTTTTTTTTTTTTCTGTCTATGCATAACCAACCGTAAATCTCATTCCTCTGAAGCCATAGACATTATTTTTGATAAGATATCTCACTGAGACCTCCTTGAGGTTAAGTTTACTAACCATCTAGTCCCAGTGATCCATCTTTGCTCTGCACTTCTGGAATTCCAAGCAGGCCCCTCCCCTCTTTGAGACAGGGTCTCACTTTATAGTACTTGCTGTACAGACTAGGCTGTCCTCAAACTCATAGAAATCCATCTGCCTCTTAAGTGCTGGGGTTAAAGCTTCCCGGCCACACCTGGAGTTTTTTGTTTGTTTTTAAGACATAGTTGCTAGGTTGAACTATTTATTGACTGGACTGAGCTGTTTCCTGTTCTTGTGGTTTTTTTTTTTTTTTTTTTTTTTTTTTTTTTTTTTAACCGAAATATGTACTTTGTGTGTCCCTGGTGCCTGGCACCCCAAAGGCCAAAGATTGTGTCAGAGTCCCCGAAGTCTACAGATGGTTGTGATAGGACTCAGATGGAAGAATCCAGGGCTCTTGACCATCTCTTCAGTACACCGCCACCACCCCCATCCCCGTCTATCCTGAACCCTAATTAGCTATTCAGAAGAGTGACATAGTTCCACACTTTATAAAAAAAAAATAAATTTTTTGCTAAGTCTTTTTTTTTCCCCCCTCTTTTTCTTTGCTTTCTTTCCCACCTCCCTCTTCTTCCCTGCTTTTTTAGTGGTACTGGGGGTTGAACCCAGGATTTAGACATACTCCTACCACTACTGAGCCATATTCCCGATTATTTTTGACAAGATACCACTCTGTAACTCAGGTTTTGGCCTTAAACATGTAATCCTCCTGTTTTGGCCTCCTGAGATTATAGGCTGGTGCTACCAGGAGACTTGTGGCAAGACCTTGTCTCAAAAAAAACAAAACAAAAAAAAAGCCAAGACTGTTAGCTGTTTGTTAAAGTGATATTTGAAGGCATGATGACTATGAAGTGATTCTTAAATAACTAACCCTTTGAAAATAAAAAGTAGGAAACTTTTTGATAGCATAAGAAGAGCCAACTTCTTTTGTCTTCTCCTATCAAAAGTATGCAATGGCTATTTCAATGAAATGACTAAGGTAATATTATCCTGCCCAATATTATTTTGTAGCTGCTTGGCCACTTCTCAGCCTTCCACACCCAAGAGCCACATTCACCTTGGTGATGCTTCTAGGACTGACAGTCCATGGCTCTTTGACCATGGTTCACACATACCATGTGGTGTGTGGAAGGTGCCACTGAGCCTTACAAAGAAAGCAGATGTTACTAGGCCATTCTAAATCTCTCATTAATGTAACCCTCCTGGAGCCCTAATGTAATTATGGCTTTGTCTTTAAGAATGCTGTACCTCTTAGCTTTGGTACCAAGAAACATTCTAGAGGTACAAACCCACTATTGGTCTGGCTGTTAATAAAGGACTCAGTGTTTTTTAATTGGCTTAATTGGCATGGTTGTCAGTGACTGTCTCATTCAATCAAGAGGCTGAGACAGGAAGATTGGGAATTTGAGGGCAGCCTGGTGGAAACCACCTCTGTACATACACGCACCCATTTCCAGTGCAAAAAGAAGGTGCTTTGTTCCTTGCTCCCATCAAGAAATTTGTAATCATATTCCAAATGATTTTGTTAGCATCGTTAAGTAGCCTAGATAACATTAGATAGAATAAAATAAAAATCCACAGATTATATGGCATTTTAAAGAGTATTTTAGAGTATAACAAGATTAAGGAATTTTATTCTATTACATTCCAGAAGTCTACTTTTGGTAGCAGTAGTAAGTGACAGATTATTTCTGCTAACATGCTATAGCTTTTTCTTTGTTTAGTAGATAATGAACAGGCTTGATTTTGGTTGAGTGGATGATTACATTCTTGACCACTCTGCTGTCTTTTGGGGTGTTTTGAATCAGACCCCAGACTGTTCTCAAATTCCCCGTACAGACAAGGAAAGTATGACCTTGATCTCCAGATCTTCCTGCCTCCACCTCTTAATGCTGAGATTACAGGTATACACCCATCACACACACTTAACAGTTCTTAAATGCTGTGGGCTTTTGTTTTTAAACACTTTAATGTCAAGCACCAAGCTATTTTATCCTATTGTTGATGACAAATACAGTTGGTACTATCTGGTAAGTCATCATCCGGCTTACTACACCTATCTTTAAAACCATCTTTTATTAAAAGAAACTTAAGGAAATATATTTGTTATAGCCCTAAAGAATGGACAATTGGGCAAGGTGGTGGTGGCACACAACTTTAGTCCCAGCACTCAGGAGGAAGAGGCAGGTGGATCTCTGTGAGTTCAAGGCCTACCCTGTTGATATACAGAGCGAGTTCCAGGTTAGGCTCCAAAGCTACAGAGAAAACCTGTCTCAACAAACAAAAAGAAAAAAGTAGCAGTATGATTGTAATAGACATGTGATGCTTAAACTAGGTTTTTTGTTTAGAAGTTTAATTTTAGCATTTTCTTTGAAAAGATTATTTTGTGTGTGTGCGCGCACGCATGTAGAGGCCAGAAGGCGGCTTTGGATCCCTTGGAACTGCAGTTAGAAGCATTTGAGAGCCACCTGATATGGGTACTGGCATCTGAACCCTGGTCCTCAAGATAAAACAGCAAACCATCTTAACCACTGAGCCATCTGCAGACCCAGTGCTTTTGGCTTTTGAGACAGGCTCTCTTTATGTATTTTAGGCTAGCTCACACTGAGCTTCCTAGGAGTCAGAATCACTGGCTTGTGCCACCATGCCAGCTAAAGTAGCTTTAACTTTTCTGTGCTTAAGCTAAAGAGAGAATTATCAGTGTTTGTGACACAGCTTTTATATTGAGTAAATTTAGGGGCTTGGCATTCAAGTATTCTATTACTTGTTGAATTTATCAAGTTTGTTGTGTGTGCTCTTGTTTGGTTTGTCTTGTCTTAGTTTTTTGTTCTTTTTCCTTTTAGAAACAGGGTTTAATATATCTCAGGCTGGCCTGGAACTTGCTGTGTAGCTAACTAAGGAAGTGACAGGCTTCCTGTTCCACCTGGACTGGACTGGAATCCTAGGTGTATGTTACCATGCCTGGTTTTATGCAGTGGGATGGAACTTGGGACTTAGTGCATTCTAGGAAGCATTCTGCCAACTGAGCAGCCCTCCCCTCAACCTCCCATTAAATGGAGTTTACTTAATAACACTCATACAAAGTTAGGTACTTGATTACTTTTGCTGGTTCACAGACTACATTATTAACTCTGGCCTGGTGTGGTCTCTTGCATTTATTCAGTTAGCAGCATGCCTGTGTCATAAAGGCATGATACTTGAAGAAAAAAAAAAAACTTCCAGTCGACTGGGCGTTGGTGGCGCACACCTTTAGTCCCAGCAATCAGGAGGCAGAGTCAGGCAGATCTCTGTGCGTTCGAGGCCAGCCTGGTCTACAGAGCTAGTTCCAGGACAGGTTCCAAAAGCTACACAGAGAAACCCTGTCTTGAAAAAACAAAAACAAAAAGAAAACTGCCCGTCATCAAGGCTGAACACAGTTCATTCACCATGAATTATAGTTAATTTAGTAGAAGAAAGTTTAATTCTTAAATTAATAATCTTTAATATTTATTGCTTCATTTTGTCTTTGGTGTTCTTATGTACTTGCAGTACTGTTTTATAATACAGACTTTCTAGCTATATACATGATCTTTGGTCAGATTAGTCTTCTGAAATGTTTTTGTCTGAATGTTAGTATGTAACTAAATTTATATTCCTTGATGCCAATACAGAAAGGCTTAACGAACGATTTGAGTTCTTTTAGCTGGAAAACTGTTCATGATTTCTAGTAAATCTTTTTCTAGTGTCCTTTTCTTTAGCAATGAGGAATGTCTCCATAATTATAAAATTCTTTACACAATATATTACATATGTGTTCCATAGCAAAACCATTCTAAAAGGCAGGTGGCTGTACCTTGTCAGGTGTCAAGTATAAATGGCCTTCTCCCTAACCTAGAGTCTTTCATAATGGGGCCCTTATTTAGTCAGTTTTGACAGTGGCTGTTCTGGATATGTACTCCATCAAAAGTGAGACTTTAGATTCGTAAAGGTCTACAGCTCTTTCACCGGTAGAAAGCACTAGGCTAGGCATCAGGCCTGGTCTCTTGGCTCTGGTCTGGCCCTGCAGCTGTCATCCTAATATGATCAGTTCCTACCTGGGTTTCATTACCTTCAAAATGAGGAAGTTGAACTAGATGATTTCTCATGTTTCTTCTACTCCTAGATTCTATGATTTTTAGGGAGAAAATCCCCTCAACATTCCTGGGATATAGATCTAATAGTCCCATATATTGTGAAACTTCCCTATTGACGATAAAGAGGGATGGGGAAGGCTGCAAGTAAGTATATCCTCCTACTTTCTTTAATTTTTAAAAAGCTTCACTGGGCAGTGAAACTACAATCTGCTGTGACAGTGTTTGTGAAATTTGAGAAAATTTAACATAGCTTTTCAGTTTCAATTTAACTCAAGCAGTTTCAAAACTTCTGCATCTCTGAACACCTTTTTTGAAAATTCCAATTATCATTTGTCTTGACATTTTGTCCTCATCACAAAAAGAAAACTTACCTTCCCTTTTTATTGGTATGATTAAGCAAATGGAATTTACACATATGAATGAATTGGAGTCCACAGTTGGTAGCATCTTGCAAATACATTTTTAAAACTCATTATCCATGTTAATCAAAATAGGTAGAATGTTTTTATTCTTTTTGTTTTGAATGGGTTTTCACTGTGGCACCTCCACTTAACTAGCTCACTGAAAATAATAGTAATAAAACGGAATCAGTATTATAGACAGACATGATTCCCTTGTTTTTGAGACCCCCGAGAATTGCTGCCTTCTCATGCTGAAATAAATGTTTGGAAACAAAAAATTCTAGGGGCCTGGAGCTGATAAGAGCACATACATACTGCTTTGGCAGAGGACCAGAGAGTGGTTCTCAGCACCTCACATCTGCCTGTAACTCAAACCCTGAGAGGATCCAATGATTCAGTGCCCTTTTCTGGTCTTCAAGGGCACCTGCAAAACGCATAGACACATATCTAAACACGTACACTTAAAAATAAGGTCAGTTTTCAAATTACAGATTTGGATGATGAAATTGCTCATTATTTTGTGATATTTTTATTTACAAATCTAGATATAAAGAAGGCTAGAAAGAATAAATCTATCAAAAATATAGTTAGGGAAAGTTATCTCAGCATCCTAAATTAACCTTTCTGTAGATATAATTTTCTAAGTTGAACTGTTCAGTGTTTGAGTGACATTAGTGTGTCTATATGAGTCAAATTTTAAAATGGGAGAGCCAGCTAGTTCCTGCTGTTTGAAACTACTGTACACATTTGTTCTAGGTTGGTACTGATGTCTTTTCTACTGGTCAAGTGAACATTAATATGAACATTAGCCATGAAGGATTTGTCTTGACTTTTTTCCCTGACTACTGTCTGTTTTCCAGGTTCTCTTTGTAAAGAATCATTTTCTGGTCAAGTTTCTTCATCACTCATGCCACTTACTCCATTCTGGACCCTCCTTCAGTCAAACGTACCCGTGCTTCAACCACCATTACCTCTGGAAATGCCACCACCCCCACCTCCACCCCCAGAATCTCCTCCTCCTCCACCTCCTCCACCACCCCCTCCTTTAGAAGATGGTGAGATTCAGGAAGTAGAAATGGAGGATGAAGGAAGTGAGGAGCCTCCTGCCCCAGGAACAGAGGAGGATACTCCTTTGAAACCTTCAACACAGACCACGGTTGTAACTAGCCAGGTAATGCTGTCCTTGGCATTGGGGTGGTAATGGGGACTGGAGCATGATTGGCATGCTTTACTTTAGGAGACTATATTTTATAGGCCTGTAATTGCTGACTGGGATGTTTGTGTTTCAGAGTTCAGTTGATTCTACAACCTCTAGTCCTCCATCCACTAAAGCAGTAAAGAGAAAGGCTGCCGAAATTAGTACTGCAGTTGTCCAGAGATCAGCTACTATTGGTAGTTCTCCAGTTCTCTACAGCCAGTCAGCTATAGCTGCAGGTAAGCATCATAATTAAAGTGAGTTTTTCTCAATTTTATCATTTGTTTCCAGCATTGGATGCTGTAAGTAGAAGGCTTTTGAGTGAAAATACTGTTTATACTTATTTTTCCCAGTTACTAAAAAACTACCCTTAAACATGAATCCTTATCATTAAAAGATTATTTTCTGTTTTGGGTTGTTTGGTTTGGTTTGGTTTGGTTTTTCAAGACAGGGTTTCTCTGTGTAGCTGTGGCTATCCTGGAACTCACTGTGTAGACTAGGCTGGCCTCAAATTCAGATATTCTCTTGCTTTTGCCTCGAAAGTGCTGAGATTAAAGACATAGCCTACTTTCCTGCCCAGCTATAACATTTTGCTAGTAGCAAATATGGCTTTTTTGTTGTTTTGTTTTGTTTTTAAGGAAAAGGTATATTGAGATCATTTTGTGATTTCCTTTTCCTTCTGTCTTGTTACAGTGTCTTTTATAGTATTTTATGTTTCCTGCATTAGGTCACCAAGCAATGGGGATTGCACATCAGACTGTCGGGATGGCACACCAAGCAGTATCAGTTAGCCATGCAGCAGCAGGAATGGGTCATCAGACCAGAGGGATGAACCTGCAGTCAAATTACCTTGGACTAGCAGCAGCACCTGCAATTATGAGTTATGCTGAATGTTCTGTCCCAATTGGAGTGACCACTCCATCATTGCAGCCGGTTCAGGCTCGAGGAACTATGGCAGCACCTGCCGTTGTAGAACCGCCGCCACCACCGCCTCCTCCACCTACACCCACACCCACACCACCACCACCACCACCAGCTCCCAAAGTGCCACCACCTGAGAAGACAAAAAAAGGAAAGAAAGAGAAAGTGAGTCTTCTGTTTGTTTCTAATTTATTTTTTTGTTTTTTGGGGCAGGGTTTTTCTGTGTAATAGCACTGGCTGTCCTGGAACTCACTTTGTTGACCAGGCCTGGAACTCCTCACTGAGATCCGCCTGTATTTTGAGCATATTCACACATACCCATTACCTCATCTTGTATTCCTTCTCCCACTAACTCACTTCCCTTCCTCCTCTCAACATGTTTATGTTCTTTTTGTTTTATTCCTCCCACACCGTTGTTCTACATGGATATGTTTTTGTTTGTTTTCAAGACAGGGTTTCTCTGAGTAGTCCTGGATTTCCTGGCTCTCACTCTGTAAATTGGATTATTTATCTTCGAATTCAGAGACCTATCTGCCAATGCCTCTTGAGTGCTGGGATTAAAGGCATCTGTCCCCATGCCTGCTTCGTTTATTAATAGTGTATTTATAATGACCCAGTGAATTTTGTAGTTTATAGGAGCATGAGCACTTTACTGGTGCCTTCACCACCACCTCCCAACCCCCCCCCCAAAAAAAATGTTTCTCCTCCAACCATTAACTGTATAAATCCTCAGGGAAGGGTGATGCCCCATAAGCCCCTGCCCACTTCATGATAGGCAGTTCAGTTGCTGTGAGTTGAATAGAGCAACAGCCATGCCATTCCAGAAATCAGCATTCCTCACTATGTGCATACAACATTAACATTAACCACTTAACACTCATCTGCCATTTCCATGATGCTGCTAAGCCTTGGAGTTTCTGAATGCATCCAGTGTCCACTTATTCCTTGGTTTCAGGAAAGGATCTTTTTTTTTTTAAGATTTATTTATTGTGTATACAATGCTCTGCTTGCATGTCCGCTTCAACACCTGAAGAGGGTACCAGACCCCTACAGATGGCTATGAGCCACCATGTGGTTGCTGGGACCTTTGGAAGAGTAACCAGTGCTCTTAACCTTTGAGCCAACTCTCCAGCCCCTCAGGGAAGGATCTTGATCTCCAATGTGAAGGACTTATTTCCTTGCTCATGTAATCCATTCCTCTGATCTGTAACTTTTTTAGGCAAAGAAAAGCAAAACCAAAATGCCGTCTTTGGTAAAGAAATGGCAGAGTATTCAGCGGGAGTTAGATGAGGAAGAGAATTCAAGCTCCAGTGAAGAGGACCGGGAATCAACTGCACAGAAGCGAATCGAGGAGTGGAAGCAACAACAGCTGGTCAGGTAAAGGAAGTGCAGTCACTGATGGGAGGGCCTCGCTCATGCTTGCTTCTGTGTGCGTACGTTCTTAAAGTCAGTCCTTCATGAAGAATATATGGCCGCTTGCCTGAGAAAATGATAGCATTTTTTTGAATGGACGTGAAATCCAAGTTTCAGTTACAGTTTTTATTTCTTTAAAAAATAAAAAGGCTGGAGAAGTGGCTCAGAGGTTAAGAGCACTGCTTGCTCGTCCAGAGGTCATGAGTTCAATTCCCAGCAACCACATGGTGGGGTCACAGCCATCTAAAATAACAACTGGTGCCTTTTTCTGGCTTGAAAGCAAACATGCAGGTAGAACGCTATATACATAATACATAAATAAAATTTTTTTTTAAAAAAATAAAAATCTTCTCTTTCTAGTGAAAAATAACCTGAAAATTGTTTTCACAGTGGCATGGCCGAAAGGAATGCTAACTTTGAAGCCCTTCCTGAGGATTGGCGAGCAAGACTGAAGAGAAGGAAAATGGCTCCCAACACATAGTTTTGAATTAAAAAAAAAAAAAAGAAAACAAAAACTTTTTTTTGGTTTCGTTTTATGTTCAGTCTTAACCAGTTTTTTGTTTTGGTTTGGTTTTTCGAGACAAGGTTTCTCAGTATTGTTTTGGAGCCTGTCCCGGAACTAGCTCTGTAGACCAGGCTGGCCTTGAACTCACAGAGATCCGCCTGCCTCTGCCTCCCAGGTGCTGGGATCAAAGGCGCGCGCCACCAACGCCCAGCTTCAGTCTTAACCAGTTTTAAACTGTTGTTAAATGAATTGTAAATGTTATGAGGAAGAACATACATTTCTGGGCAAGAACATGTACATCCAAAGTCGTCCGTTTATGAAGTGTAGTTTTTCTGTTTGCTGAAGATGAGGTGGTTGGAATTGCTTTGCCCTGCTGTCTCTTCACACTGGCAAACTTAGCATGTTAGGTATGAGTCAGTCTTGAGGAACATGTGAGTCATGGACATGAAACCTCTGTAGAGGACTCTGGCGAAAGTGAAGGGCTTTTCTGCCCAGTAGAGGCTTGTTTAGTTGCTAGTGTGACACTCTCCTTACCTTCTACTCCAGAACAAGTGCAATTAAGAAGGCAGCTCTGTATCCTACCTTGCTTGACCATCAGGATCTTTCTGACCTCCTCCTCAAGTCTGCTGCCCCTGAAGTGTTGAGCTCTGTGCTGACGCCACACTTTCCCAGAAATTACAGCACTCATTTATATACAGCAGGAGTAGCAGCAGCAGGTGTTCAGATCCTTGATTTTGAGAAATTCCCCCTAAGTGTGTGGTAGTAAGTAAAATAAGCCACTTTGTATAGTCTTCATTGTATTACCCGCTTCAAAAACTGACCTTCCTTCTATGTGTGAGTATATTCTCCATAGATTCTGGTATTTAAGAAGCAGTTCACTGGTGTATACTTTCTATTAGTATTGCAATCAGGAAAGGTCACTTTAAACTGAAGAAAAAGCAAATTGTGTCTTAAAGCTGTTTGTATTTCTCCAGTTTCAGACGTTGTAAATTTGTATATACATACTAATAAAACTTTTTATACTTGTGACTGGTTATCCTTTTGCTCTTCTAAGCATGTTACCCTACCGTTATATAACCGGGACTTAGTGTTTGTCCATTCTTACTTGTTCTAACCAAACATGGTAGAGAGCACACACTGACATTTGAACATCAGGGAAAAGCAGCCTCTTGGCAACATAGAGAGATGGGGTTTTAAAACAGACAGGCCTCTAAACAAGATGGTGACTTTCTGGAGCTTACATCACGATAATAACAGATATGTGACTTACCTAAGTCCTGGGAACAATGTAATAATGGCTAACATTTTGGGAGGAAAAGGTGCTTTCTAATTTTTTTTTATAAGTAATGCAAAGCTGATTATGGGAAAAAATGGATACTTAACAATATAATAATAGTTAACCAAAGACAATAGTTTGGATTTTATTCTAGTATATTCTTATGCAGTTAATTTTTTTTACTTTGTATTATAGTGTGTTAGATTTTATTTATCATGTGCTAATGTTGAGATGCCCATTTTGTACATAAAATTGTTTTGTAATTTGCATAGAGTTAAATTTCTACAAATAAAGATTATCAACTAGCTATTAAAGCTTTTGTCTTAATTAACAGTTTTCTGGGTGTGTAAGAGTTGCTGGAGAGAGAGCACCAGCCCCCTTATTGTCCAGCTGTTGGGCGCATAAAGGACCTGATTGACTGGGTTTGGGGTAGTTAGAGTGATTTGCCACTATTCTAACTAGAAGGTAGAGAATAAGGAGCCAAAGCGTTCAGTAGCTGGCCCGTATCATCCCTAGTTAAGGACATTCTAGTATGCGAGTCTGGCATGAGTAGCTTAGAGATTCCAGCCCCAGCTTTTATGAGGCAATTCACTTTTTGCTGTTAAAGGTCTATTTTATGTATATGGGTGTTTTGTCTGTATGTACATCTGCACACCAGAAGAGGGTGTGTCCCATAGGAGTACAGTTATAGATGGTTGAGCTGCTGTGTGAGTCCTGGGAATTGAACTCAGAAGAGAAACCAGTCCTCTTAACTGCTTCTCCCTATCTCCAGCAACAAGATTCACTCTTAAAATAGGGCATCTTTAACACAAGTCTTTGAACAAGACTAAAAAGTAACAGTGGGGCTGGAGAGATGGCTCAGCACTTGAGCACTTGTAGCCCTTCCTGAGGACCCAGGTTTGGTTTCCAGTACCCACATCTGGCTTGAAACTAAGTCCAGCTCTGAGCTCTGAGCAGTGGGCACTTGCAGTCATGTGCACATACAAACGCACAAAAAATAACTTTTAAAAATTAAGGGTGCTTAGATAGCCTAACACGTTTGCTTGACAAGCCTGGCACCTGCTGGACCCTGGAACCCACAAAGGTGGGACGGACTAGTTTACTTAATAAAGTTCTTTACCTTACCTTGTCCACACAAATTCCACACAATATGAAAAGTAAACAAAGAGGAGGATTCCCAGAGAGACAAGAGTTCAAAGGACTTGGGACCCTTCCTTCAGACCGCTCACAACGGCAAGGAACTAGCTCCTTGGGAATCCCAAGCCAGACATCTGCGTGCACGCACACAGGGAAATCAAGAAAAAGTGGAAAGGAAGATAACTTTAAATTTATCAAAAGGTAGAAGAAATTATGTAAACTAGGATGAGCCTGATTCCTAGGACTGATCTCCAATTCCTTTTTAAAGTAAACCTTTGGTTGCTACAACTCCATCCTTCCCAACCCTTAACCCCTAAAGGAAAGGAAGTTTCAACCCCCTCGAATAAAAAGTAAATTACTGAAACTCCAGAAGCAAGAAAAGAGGATGACGCCTCCTGGCACTGTACTCATCAGTACCCAGACTGGGTCTGTAAAGTTTGAGATGAATGAGTTAAGTCATTGGAGTGTGAAACACAAGTTGCCTGACATCCCAGGGCTCGCAACATCCGTAGGTTGAGGGCGGGGTCCTGCCTTCCTTCCGCTTCTGGCTCGCGGTTGCTAGGCTGCCAGGGTCCGCGCGGAAAGAAGCTTCAGCAGGTGAACTGAGGGACTGGGACTGCGAAGGAGCCCAGACGGGATCCCAGGCGGGAAGGGGGTGAAGAAAGTAGGGGGTGAGGAGGGCAAGAAGCGAGAAGGGCAAGGGGGTGAGAAGGCCAGACGGTGAGCAGGGTTGGGAGTGAGGGGGGCGGGGGTTGAGGAAGGTTGGGGGTGAAGAAGGTTAGGGGTGAGGAGGGCAGGAAGTGAGTGAGGTGGGGGGGGGGGTGAGGAAAGTAGCGGTGGAGAAGGCAGGGGGTGTGGAGGGCAGGGTGCTGAGGAGCGTTGGGCCAGCCGGACTCAGGGCTAGCCTCCGAGGCAAGGGTGGGAGTGGCGCGGTGTGGGAGCTCCTGCCTCGTCCACCCTGGCCGTGGGAGAGCTGGGGAGCGCGGTGTCGGTCTGCAGGCTCCGGTGGAAACTTCTGCTTCGCTCTCCCTTGAGCTGTCCCCATCGCGGTCCACACCTCCGGGGCAGGACGCTCAGAACTGGACGTTTCCAGGGCCCTGCTTTCGACCCTTGACCTTTCCTTTTCAACTGCTCTGAGGCGACTCTGCACCGCACGTGCCTCCAACCCGGTGCCTTTCCTTTTTCTGTGGCGTCCTGGTGTCGGGCATCTCTTCTCAGAGTAATCTAAGCATGGGACCAGCGAAGGTCCGGGTAAATCTAGAGGACGAGGCGTGGGGACACACAGTGCACCACGACTCCTCAGGTGCGTGCTGGGTTGACAAGGCTTTCCCTGAAGTGGCTGTGGGTGTAGAAGGGCAGGGCCGCCAGATTTGGTGTTACTTGGTGGTGCTATGCGGTTGGACGGGTTTCTTTTCACTTTTCCTGCTGTGATTTGAGGCTTCTGTGTAATCAGCTACCCTTTTGGAAATTAGGCTGAGTTTGCAGCAGGGTGTGGTGTTACTGACTCACCTACGTCATCCTATGCGGCAGTAACATGTTCCCGGCGTTGGAAACAGAGCTAAAGCAGGAGGTCGGTACATTCCCCTTTCCAATAACTTCACAGAAAACAATCCTAATTCAAAAGGTACATTGTGGTGGCATGCTGTCTCGCTGGAGCTTTCTTTTGTAGCTGGCTTTTTGGGAGGAAGGTGGATAATATGACCTTGCTCTGTAGCCCATGCTGGCCCAGAGCACACTGTGTCGCCCCGACTAATCTTGAACTTGCCCCTCCTACCTCTGTATCCCTCGTGTTTAAATTACTAGTGTGCTCCGTACCTGTTAATACTCCAAACCTGTTGGAGATCATGATTCCCAAGAGAGAATAATTTGATATTTGCATGGATTTCGCTTGTTTTGTTAACCGTATCCTATGAAGCATGTTTGGCACTTTTTGCTAAGAGTTCAGTGTCATCTGAGTGAAATGTTCTGCTTGAGAAGACCGTTTCTTTCAGACTCTTCCTGACCCCTATGAGGATTTTATGCACCATCACCTCCAGTATTATGGATACTTTAAAGGTAATACTTCATTCTTTTCCATTCTCACCAAGCTCAATTGTTGCATTAACTGGAAGAACTGTGTTTGCTTAAGACTCAGATACTTTTTCTAGTTGATTAGTTGAAAAGTACTTTCTACCCCTATTGAACTGTTGTGCCACCTGAGTCTAGGGACAGACTCACTATATACAAAAATGCAAATGTCTCTTCTAGGCTCTTTAGTTTGTTGACCAATTTTTCACTGGTACACCAATAACTACCATCTCTCAATTGCCATGTGATATTAAAATAGTTTCTTATTTAAATGGTCTGACTATGTAGTCCAGGAAGGCAAGGAACTCACTGTCCTGTCCTAGCCTCTTGCACCACTATGCCCAGCTTTTATAGTCTTGATATCTAGAGTCATTTCCTCTCACTTTGTTCTTCAAAAGTGTCTTGCCTTTGCTTTTCTCTCTTCTTATGGTTCTGGAGATTGGACCTATGTTCAATACAGGATACTACACAGGAACTCTGCTAAGGGACATCTCAAGCCCTCTTTATGTAAATTTTAAAATTAGTTTGAGACATTAAAAAATCATTATGGGGGAAAAATCATTAGGGACCAAGGGTATAGCTCAGTGGTAGAACACTTGCTGAACATTACTCAGGGGTTACATTTAGTCCTCAGCACCTTGAAATCTTTTTTTGTTTTGTTCTTTGTTGTTGTTGTTTTGCTTTGTTTTTCTGAGACAGGGTCTCTCTGTGTAACAGCCTTAGCTGTTCTGGAACTAGCTCTGCAGACCAGGCTGGCCTCAAACTCACAGAGACCAACGTGCCTCTGCCTCCCAAGAACTGGAATTAAAGGCATGCACCACCTCTGACCAGCTTGAAATCTTTTATTTTTACTTAATCATTTACTGGCTGGTATTTTTTTTTTAAAGACAGTCTGTATATACAGGGTTAAGTAATGTTCCATACTGACCTTTTTTGTTTAACGCAGTTGGAGTTTATTAGGAAAAAAAATGTTGGGTTTGTTTGTTTTTATTGGTGGTGGTGGGGTGTTTTTTTTTTTGTTTGTTTGTTTATTTGGTTTTTTTATGTTTGTTTGTTTTTCAAGACAGGGTTTCTCTGTGTAGCTCTGGTTGTCCTAGAACTTGCTTTGTAGACCAGACTGGGCTCAAACTCAAAGATCCATCCACCTGCCTCTGCCTCCCAAGTACTGGGACTAAAGGTATGTGCCACCACTGTCAGGTATATGGATATTTTTACTTACTTATATGTATGTATGTGCACCGTCTCTCTCTCTCTCTCTCTCTGTGTGTGTGTGTGTGTGTGTGTGTGTGTGTGTGTGTGTGTGTGTGTGGTGCCTGAGGAGGTTGGAGCCCCTGGAATTAGAGTTATGGATGGTTGTGAACCATCATGTAGGTGATGGAAACCAACTCAAGTTCTCTGAAAGAAGAGTAAACACTCTTAAAACTTCTGGGCCATCTCTCTAGCCTGTTTTGTTATTGTTTTAAGACAAAATCTTGCCATGTATGCTGGCTGGCCTGTAGTTTACTAGGTAGACAAAGCTAAAATCCTCTTGCCTCTACCTCCAAAGCATTGGAATTACAAACATGTGCCACCATGCCCAGGCTACATTTACAGATTTTTGTATAGAATTTTCCATTTTTGTATTATTATAAATGTTATCCTTTTTTTTTTTAAAGACAGGGTTACATCCTAGAACTTCATAGTTCATCTAGACCAGCTCAATCTTGCAATCTTCCTACCTTTGTCTCCTAAGTTTTACTAGTTACTTTCCTATTACTGTGATTATAACACTGTGAACAAGGCAACTTGTGAGAGAAAGCATTTAATTGGGCTTATATTTCCAGAGAGTTAGAGTTCATGGTGATGGGAAAAAAAAAAAATGCATATCAGCAGGGACAGCTGAGATCTCACATCTCCTGGAGACAAAGAGTACACTGGAATGGCACATCTTTTAAAACCTCAAGCTCGTCCCCAGCTCTCAACAAGGCCACATCTCCTAATTCTTCCCAAGCAGTTCCATGAAGTATTCAAACACATAAACCTATGGGACCCATTCTCATTCAAGCCACATTACAATTTAAATGCTTTAAAAAATATGTATTTTTATTTTGTGTGTGTGTCTTAGGGTCTCTATTGCTGCAATGAAACACCATGACCAAAGAGCAAACTGGGGAGAAGAAGATTTATTTGGCTTACATGTCTACATTGTAGTCTGTCTTTGAAGGAAGTCAGGACAGGAACTGAAACAGGACAGGGGCTGATGCAAAGGTCATGGAGGGGTACTGCTTACTGGCTTGCTCATCCTGCTTTCTTAAGGAACCCAGGACCAGCTGGGCCTAGTGGCACACACCTTTAATCCCAAGACTTGTGAGGTAAAGGCAGGCAGATCTCTGAGTCCAAGATCAGCCTGCTCTACAGAGGGGATTCTGAAAAATAACCCAGGACCACCAGCCCAGTGATAGCACCACCTACAGGAGTTGGTTCTGTCCTTCCACATTTACCCCCAAGGATCCAACTCAGGTCCTCAGACTTTGCAGCCACTACCTTTTTCTCCCTGAGCCATCTTGCCACCAGATTTTAATTTCCTAGTATGACATTTTGTTTGGTTTTGGTTTTTAAGACAGCGTTTTTTTGTGCAACAGCCCTGGCTATCCTGGAATTCACTTTTGTAGACAAGGCTGGTCTTGAACTCAGAGATCTACCTGCCTCTGCCTCCTGAGTTCTGGAACTAAAGGCATGTGCCACCATGCCAGGTGAGTTTTAATTTTTGTTTATTTCTTGGTCTTTTGAGACAGGGTTATTTGTAAACCAGGCTGGTCTCTACCTCAATGTATAGCTTTATTTTGCTTGTTTATTTTTGCAGTTCTGGGTACAAGCCTGGGGCCTTGCACTTATTAGGTAGATATTCTACCGCTGAACTAGATCTACAACTCTTGGCCTTTTGAGACAAAGTCTTGTCAGTAAGTAGTTGGCTCCAACCTTGCAATCCCACCTCCTTTGTCTGCTCACCATGGCCAACTTAATATTGACCGAAACTCCAGCAACCTTGTTCAACATTATTATTAGCAATTTCTATTTCATTGCTAATTTGTTGAAAGGAGAATTTCAGTATGTCAAATTCAATAAATTTCCTTCATAGAGAAAGGCTTTTGAAGCTGGGTGTGGGGGCTCACACTCAGGAGGCAGAGATAGACAGATCTCTATGAGTTTGAGGCCATCCTGGTCTACATAGTGAGTTCCAGGACAGCCTGGGCTGCATAGTGAGACGTGTGTGTGTGTGTGTGTGTGTGTGTGTGTGTGTGTGTGTGTGTGTGTATTGTTTTTTTAAAGGCTTTTGGTACAATGTGTAATATTCCTTTACACTGTGTGAATATATGTCATTGAGACTGACTTGATAAAGAAGCTGACTGGCCAATAGCTAGACAGGATGAGGTTAGGTGGGAAAGCCAGACTGAGAGTGCTTGGGGGCGGGCAGAGTATGGAGTCACCAGCAAAAGCAGAGAGAAGCAAGATGGGCATGCTGTACTGAGAAAAGGTGCCAAACCACATGGCAAAACATAGATAAGAAATATGGGTTAATTTAGATGTAAGAGTTAGCTGGTAACAAGCCTGAGACATTAGCAGAGCATTTATAATTAATGTAAGCCTCAGTGTGTTTTTTGGGAGCTGTTGTGTGTTACAGAAACACCTACAGCACAATACTTTGTTCCCACTATGGTACCTGCCTTTGCTTGGCTTTGGCTCTCTTAGCAACTCTTAGGGCTACTGAGTTTTTCTGCCTTCTAAATACCATTATAAGCCCACCAATATATCGTGATATTAATCTCTACTCTCTTGCCTCTCATGTCAAATGGGAATAATAGTTTTCACTTTGCATAAATTGGAATGTAAGATATTTTAAAAACAGGATGTGTTATCATAAAAGTCTGTGATGGACAGTGGTGATAAAAGCCATGGTTTGAGTGGTTGGGGTTTTTTATATTGACTTCACCACTAGAGATACTGAACCATCCTACAAGCAACTTGAACTAAACCACTTACTCTTAGCCCAGAAAGGCAATCTACCAAATTCTGCTGCTCATCAGCGTGTTTGGAAGACTAGCCCTCGGTACGAATTGAATGGCTCTTTTGGAGAAAAACAGGATTTGATCTCGGATACCTTGGAGAAAGAGACGTTTCTATGTAAGTAACCTCTCCAGCCTATGTACCCACACCCAGAACCTGACTGCCTTGACAACTCCAGGAACCTAAGAGAACATGACCAAATGTGGGAAAGGCAAAACAACCAACCCAGGGTCCTGGTGGTTTGTTTGTTTGTTTGTTTTGATTTTTATCTCATTTGTTTTGGTGTTTTTGAAGGGAGTGTTATTTGGTTATTTATTTTTCATGTAGTGTGGGTGTGTAGACATACCATAAACACAGCATGTTAAGTTTGTGGGAGTTGACTTTCTCTTTCCATCATTTTTGTTCTGGGAATCAAACTCAGGTTATCAAGGCTTTACCTTCTGAGCCATCTCTCCAGCTCCAAAAATGTGCTCTAAATTTACTTGGATTATAGGTTTAAATTAAAATTCTATGTAGTCCTAGCTGTACTGAAACTCACTAGGTAGACCAGACTGGCCTCAAACTCACAGACATTTGCCTTCCTCTGCCTCCCAAATGTTGGAACTTAAGGCATCCCCCACCATGAATCTTTTTTAAGAAGATTTTATTTTTGCTGGGTGGTGGTGGCACACACCTTTAATCCTAGCACTTGGAGGAATGCAGACAGAGACAGTGGATCTCTATGAGTTGGAGGCCAGCCTGATCTACAGAGCTAGTTCCACAGCCAGGGCTGTCACACAGAGAAACCCTGTCTGGAAAAACAAACAAATGATTGTACTTTTAAGTTATGTGTGTGTATGTGTGTGTGTTGTGTAGGTATGTGCACATGAGTGCCCTTGAGACCACAGTTGATTCCCTTAGCTAGAGTTACAGAGGCTGTGAGCTCCCCAGCCCATTGGTGTTGGAAACTGAAGCCCAGTACACTACAAGAACAGCATCCCTGAGCTGCAAGCACTCTTCATCCCTGAGCCACCCCTCCAGCCTCAAGCTTCCTTTTGCTTTCACTTTGCCATCTTTTCAAATGTTGATTGTTTCACCCATTGATTACTGAGTAAAGGTTTATCTAGAGATTCAGGGACCCAGTGTGGGGATAAAAAAGAAAAGGAGGGTGGGAGACAGTGGGCAAACAATAAAACAAATGGTGCTTCCTTCTTTCTCTCTAGGGCCTACCTGTTTATCTTCAACTGGGCATGCTCAGGTAGATGCTGTAAACCGAGGTATTGAGCTTCAGATAAGTATAGCACAGTCAATTGCTTCACTATAGTTTTTGTTTGTTTTTCAAGACAGGGTTGGTTGCTCTGTGTAACAGCCCTGGCTGTCCTGGAACTCATTTTGTAGACCAGGCTGGCCTCAAACTTAAAGAGATCCCTCTGCCTCTGCCTGCCAAGTGCTGGAATTAAAAGTGTGTGCTACCACCACCTGGCCACTATAGTTTTTGTTGTTGCTTTTAAATATTTATTTATTATGTATACAGTGTTCTGTTGCATGTCTGTCTGCACACCAGAAGTTAGCATCCAATCTCCTTATAGGTGTTTGTGAGCCACCACGTGATTGATGGGAATTGAACTCAGGTCCTCTGGAATAGCAGTCAATGCTCTTAACCTCTGAGCCATCTCTCCAGCCCCTACTATAATTTTTTGTTTGTTTAATTTTTAAATGTGTATGCTTGCATGGTGTATGCTTATATATGTGTTTGTATGTGCATGTAATGTTTAAAGGCCAGAGGTTAATGCTCTATGTCTTTTATCTATCCCTCTCAACCTTATTTTTTGAGACAAGGTCCTTACTGAACCTGGAACTCACTGTGTGGCCAGGGATCTACCTTCCTCTGACCTGTCCCCAAACTAGGGTTACAGGTGTGCACCTTCATGCCTGTTTCTAATGTGGGTTCTGGGCATCTGAATCCATGTCCTCATCCTTGCACAGCAAACAGTTCACCAACTGGTAATTGGTAATTCCCAGTTATTGGGAATTCCTAGCACTTGGGAATTATTTTATCATTTGTTCTTTCTTTTCTTCTTCTCTTTCTCTTTGTTTCTTTCTTACTGTCTGTCTTTTTTGTTTTGTTTTTGATTTTCGAGACAGGATTTCTCTGTGTATCTTTGGAGCCTGTCCTGGAACTCACTTTGTAGACCAGGCTGCCCTGGAACTCACAGAGATCCACCTGCCTCTGCCTCTGCCTCCTAAGTGATGGGATCAAAGGCATGTGCTACAACTGCCCAACCTGTCTTTTTCTAAAGTTTGTGTGCCCAAGTGTGTGCACGCATGTGCGTTTGTCCCTGTGTGTAGGCTGGAGGACAACACTGGGTGCCACCCTCAGAAATGCTGTCCACAAGTATAGCTCACCATGCCCCACATTTTTGCCTGTATTCTGGAGGTTGAATTTAGGTCTGCACTTCTCCCTCTATATAGTTAATGAGGTTTTCTGTGCTTTATCCCATAATGCTGACATGAGAATTGAAAGTCCTCTTTTGACCCTGAACAAATACAAATGATAAGGCATATTAAGTACTATGTAGCCCGCTGTTGAGAGATCTTGAACCCATTAACTTGATTTTTAATAATCTAGATTATACAGAATTTAAATTTAAATTTGATAGTTTATGATTTTATCTGTTATTTAAGTCTATTTTTTTAATCTTTTTATTGGTAGGGGTTGGTACAACAGCATCTCACTATATATTCCTGGCTAGCCTGAACTCTCTGTAGACCAGGCTAGCCTTGAACTCACAGAAATCTGTCTGCCTGCCTTTGCTTCCTAAGAGCTGGATTAAGCTTCCTAAGAGCTGGGTATGGCATTACCATACCCAGATTGCTAATGTCTTAATATACTATTTAAAATTGTCTAGTTGCTATAAGAAGAGCAGTTACTAAAAGAAGGTGAAAAGAAGCGTGTTCATATAGTCCTTCTTCCTTTTGGCAGATTCACTTATGCTGAGTTCGCCACTTCTTAGGAGCAGACAGCTTCTTTATGATGAACTGGATGAAGTGAACCCACGTCTTCGAGAACCCCGAGAGCTCTTCTCATTTTTCTCTAGCCGGGGGCCACTGCAGGCTCCAAGATGGCCGATAGAATGTGAGGTCATCAAGGAAAACATTCATCATATTGGTAATATGACTGTGTGTTTGTGTGTTCCTGGTTTTTATCTTACTTTATTACAAGGCCATAGAATAAAGTCACGTGTGTGTGCACAAGTACATGTACACACAGTTTTTGTTTTGGGGTTTTTTGTTGTTGTTGATGATTGTTTGTTTTGTTTTGTCTTTTGGTTTTTTGAGATAGGGTTTCTCTGTGGCTTTGGAGACTTTCTTGGAACTAGATCTTGTAGACCAGGCTGGTCTCGAACTCACAGAGATTAAAAAAGCATACATCTGACCACACTTCCCTTATTTCCAAGAAACACAGGGTCAAATTTATATAGACCTTTCTGGCATATTTTAAGTTTTCTATTTAAAACTTATGATTTGGGGGACAGGGAGCAGAGTTTGAACCCCAGAATCTATGAAAAAGTTAGATATGGTGGCAGACACCTGTAATCCCAGCACTCCTAGGAGATGGAGACAGAATTGTTTGAAAGCCTGAGGCCCAGTTAGCCTTGAATACATCATCCAAGTAAAGAAACAAGGGACACTGCCTTAAACACACAGGAGATGAGAATGAACTCCTGAAAGCTATCCTCAGAGTGCTCTCTCTCTCTCCCTCTCTCTCTTTCTCACACACACATACACATACAAACACATACTTTAAATCAAATTTATGATTATACCGTATCCGTATCAAGTGCTATGGTCACACCCTGTGCATGCTAGGTTCATGCTGCTTGCTCAGCATCTGACCATAGTCATTATGGAGAGAAGCATGACAATTTATAAACAGTCTGGAAACTTGGAATGAGAATTAGGTTGGATTGAGCAACATTAATCATTTAAGTAATTACAATCTCATGTTAATTTTGATTGTGCCCTGTATATCGTTTCTTATTCTGTACTTTCAAAAATAATCTTCTTTCAGAATGGGTTCCACCTCAACCAGAGTATTTCTATCAGCCTACAGGAGACGAAAAGGTACCAGAGATTGTGGGAGAAGATCAAGGCACGGTTGTTTACCAGTTAGATTCAGGTATTGTCATTGCACTGAACAGTAAGTGATTAACTATGATAAAGTTACAATAAACTTAGTATGTACAATAAAAGTGATTTTAATTTCTAAAAATGTATTTCTGTGTCTGTGTGTTTATGGGCACACGTGCCATGATGCAAGTTTGGAGGTCTGAGGACAGTTTAAGTCAGTTCTCTTGAACCTTTATGTGGGTTCCAAGGAGAGAGCTCCAGTCATCAGCCTAATGCAGCAAGCTCCTTACTTACCGAGTCATCTAGTCAGCCCTAAAAGTGGTTTTATAGCTTTTCTTTTTTTTTATAACAATTATTTTTGTATAAATAAGGGGGATATATTACATGGAAGAAGGTATACCACAACACACAGGTGGAGGACAGAGGACAAGTTCTAAAAGTCCTTTCTGACTTTCTACCTCGTGGAACCCAGGACTTGGGCTCAGGCTGTCAGGCTTGATGGCAAGTTCCTTTACTTTTGAATCATCCCACTGGCCCTAATCATGATTTTAAAAAGTTGTCATCTTAATGATAAATATCTATCAGTCATGACTGATTAGCTGTACATTTTTAATAGTTTATTTTAGTATTTATTTGTTTGTTTGCTTTTTTCCAGACAGGGTTTTTTTTTTTTTTTTTTGTGTAGCCCTGACTATTCTGGAACTGTCTCTGTAGATGAGGTTGGCCTTGAACGCACAGAGATCTGTTGGCCTCTGCCTCCCCCTCAAGTGTTGGGATTAAAGGTGTGCACCACCACCCGGCCAATAGTTCATTTGTAATTACTTTTAAATACTGCTTTATGTGTATGGTCTCCCCCACCCCCCTGCATTCATGTCTGTGCACCACATGCAGTGACCGTGGAGGTCACAAGAGGGCGCATCAAATCCACTGAAACTGGAGTTACAGCAGGTACTTGTGAGACACTGGGTAGGTGTTGGAAATTGAATCCAGGTCTTCTGGACCAGCAGCCAGCTCTCTTAGCCTCTAAGCCATCTTTCCAGCTCTTCAATAATTCTTTTTTATTTTTAAATTTTCAGGGTTTGTTTGTTTGTGTTTGTTTTTGTTTTTGAGATAGGTAGAGTTCTGTGAGGTCAAGGCCAACCTGGTTTACATAGACAATTTCAGGCCAGCCAGGGCTACATACATATATAGTTACATACATACATGCATACATACATATATACACACATATATGTGGCTATTTGATTAAATATGCATATATCCTTGAGGCCAAAGAGATAGCTCAGCAGTAAGAGCACTGGCTGCTTTCCCAGAGGACCTGAGCGCAGTTGCCATCATCCACAGAGGCCTCCTGTAACTCCAGCTCCAGAGAAACAATTTCCCCCTTCTGATCTCCATGGGTACCTGCACATATGTGACATGAATATACATACACATGAATAAAAAATAAATAAATAAAAAGTCAGAGTCCTCCAAGCACTGCTGTTTGGTTAATGCTCTAGGATCAACATATTTGATAGGAGTATCTTGGCAGTTGGTGAATGTTAACATTTGAAATATATAATGAACATTATAATATTATATATAAATATAATGAAAATATAGTAAAAAATGCTTACCATTGTGATCTTCATAAGAAATGCAGGGTTTTATGAAGTATCTTATGAATATTAAAACTTGCTTAAATTACAAAGTCATTGACAAATAAGAAAATAAATTTTCATCAAGTTAACAAAAATATCAAAAAGAGATGATAAAGTAGGTTTTTCAGGACACAATACTAACAGTGCTGTGGGACAAAGAGAAATCTTTGAAACTATGAAGATCAAAGTCCTTTCTCAACAGTAACTGCAAACTTGAGGTTGCTGGGCTGGGAATAGAGCTCAGATGGGAAAGTGCTTGCTCAGCAGTCCCCAAACCCTAGAATCCATCGCAGCAGCAAAGTGGGCAGAAGAAGAGGTATCAGCCATTCAAGCATATCCTCTGCTACATGGAGGTCCAAGCCAGCCTGGATGCATGAGACCCATGAGACCCTGGCTAAAAAAAAAAAAAAAAAAAAAACAGCAAGAGGAAATGGAGAGGTCGGGCCTGGTGTGGAGTTACCCATATTTATTTGGGGGAGGGCACGGATACCACAGTGCATGTTTAGAGATCAGAGAACAACTTGTAAGAGTTGGTTCTCTGCTTTCACTATGGGATCCTTGGGGCCAAACTTGAGTTGTCAGGCGTGGTGACAAGCCTCCCTTTCCACTGAGCCGTCTCCATGTCCTGCCTACATTTTCTGAAGTCTCACTTCTTGCTGTACCTTTGTTTTATGCTTTAAAAACTTAATGGATAGTGTTCAAGTGGGTCTTTTTTTTTAGAGATTTTTAGTCTTAATTATGTTTATCTGTATGTAGGTTATGTATTTGTGTATATGTGAGTGGAAGAGGTTGCTGGATCTGCTGAAACTAGAGTTGCAGGAGGTTATGTGTTCCTAATGTGGGCACTGGGAGCTAAATCCCATCTTGGACTAGAACAGCCCCATAGCTTTGTCTAAGGATAAAATGCTCACTATACTTTTATTTTCACTAGTTACTGACATTTTGATTCTCCTATAGGCAACTCACCCATGCAAATTCTTTTCAAACTTCTATATTCATTTTATTCTGGAGGAATATGCCAAAACATTGTATGAGATATACTTTGTTTTCTGTTCCTTTTTAAAAATTGATAGGTCCTATTTGAATGCTTTGTAGAGTAAGACTGCAGATGTTTTCAGATCCTCTCTAGAGAGCGGCCAGAACATCACTGTTTCTGATTTCATTCCATTTCAAACATTTAGGATGTCAGGGTTTGTGGTTTTGATGTTTGATTGTAGTTTTGCTGTGTGGCCTGGCAGTTCTCCTACCTTAGCCTCCTCCAGAGTTCCAGGGAGCTAGGCTAGGATAGCAGTTTTTATCAACATCCTTTAAAATCAGGATTTAGATGGGAACAAGCAGTATGTGCAATGGCAAGGGAAACCCTGAGGGAAAAGGATGTACTCTAAACCATTGAAAAGATTTCAGAGGATGGGGGTTGGTGGTGCATACCTTTAGTCCCAGTGCTTGGGAAGAGAGGCAGGTGGATCTCTGTGAGTTTGAGGCCAGCCTGGTCTACAGAACTAGTTCCAGGACAAGCTCCAAAGCAATACAGAGAAACCCTGCCTCGAAAAACCAAAATAAATAAATAAACAAACAAATAAAAGATTTCAGAGTACCAGGGTGGTGGTGGCACACGACTTTAATCGCAGCATTCAGGAGGCAGAGGCAGGTGAATCTCTGTGAGTTTGAGACCAACCTAGACTACAAAGCAAGTTCTAGGACAGCTAGGGCTGTTGCATTCTTGTCTCAAAAATCAACAAGAAAATTAAAACAACAAACAAATAAAAACTTCAGAATGATGCCTTGTTGAAAATTAAGGGCCTCTGCTACAGATGTAGTTTAACAGGTGGAACCCTGGCCTGGCAGGATAGGGCCCTGTATTCAACCACCACTACTGTATGTTAAAAACACCGAATATTTATAAAATTAAAGGTCCCTGTGAGGACAACAAGTGATCCACTGAATACTTACAGGGTTGGTAGAACTCAGTGAAGGCTTGCTGAGTAAATGAATTCTGAGTGGGACGTAGCCTAATCGTGTCTTTCTCCTCTGCAGTGCCCACAGAAGGTGCCTACTTCACCAGCTCCAGAATAGGAGGAAAACGAGGAATTATCAAGGAACTTGCTGTTACATTGCAAGGGCCAGAAGATAATACTCTATTGTTTGAATCGAGGTTTGAGAGTGGGAACCTGCAGAAAGCTGTCAGAGTGTGAGTAACAAGGTGTTTCTCAAAGGTGCTGGCTGGAGTGGCTGCAAGTTGCCTTTGGAAAGGATTTCAGGCATTCAGAATGCTTGCAAGATAGAGATGGTAAAAACAACTCACTAAGGGGACGAGGAAGAAAGCAATAACTCTGACTAATTTCCCTCAGAATAAAACACTAAATTACTCTGCTTACAAAAGAAAAAAGAGCTCACTTAAAAGTTGTATCAGTGGGCCAGCAAGATGACTCAGTGGGTAAAATCACTTGCCTCTCATGCCAGACGACCTGAGTTCAATCCCTGGACCCCACATGGAGGTGGAAGTAAAAACTCAACTCCACAAAGCTGTCCTGTGGCCTCCGTAGAGATGCCATGGCACACACATGCTCATACGCACAAAAGTAACAATATGTAAAATTCTAACATTTTTATTAGTAAAAACAACATATGCAACGTAAAAGTCCTACATGCAAGAACCATTGGCATGTTGGTATATATGTCCAAATGCATATGTGTAATATACACATGTATAAATATATATATACATATATGTATATATATATGCCTTATTACTTTTACTTGTGAAAGCTGGATACAGTGGTATGTGCTTGCTTGTAGTTCTACCTATTCAGGTTCGAGGCTGGCTTTACCTACCTAGTGAGTTCCAGTGCTATATAGAGAGACCCTGTCCCCAAACAAGCAAAAACTAATTGAACACAGGGGCTGGAGTGATGGCTCAGCAGTTATGAGCATTTGCTGTTCTTGCAGAAAACCTAGGTTCAGTTCCCAACACCCATATGTTGGCTCACAAACATCTGCAGCTCTGTTCTTCCTACCTTCACAGCCATAGCATGTGGTGTACACAGATACATTCAGGCAAAACATTCATACATAAAAATAAAGAAATAAAATTTAAATTGAACCCAGTGCCTAACAAAAGCACATACCCCTGACCACTTCTTATTTTTTTTTTCTTTCTTTTTTCCCCCCAAGACAGGGTTTCTCTATGTAGCCCTGGTTGTCCTAGAACTCACTCTATAGTGAGGCTGGCCTCAAGTGAGTGTTGGAACTCAAGGCATAGTCTACCACAGGTGGCCCAGCTACTTTTTAATACAATATGTATTTTCCTGATTATGCAAATGGGTGAATATCTTTTTTTTTTCTTGCCATGTACATTTCCTTTTGTGAATTCATTTCCATCTCTATTTCTTTGATTTTGGTCTTAGCTGTGTGGTTCTCCTGCTTCAGGCTCCAAATGAGGATTATAGATTTTCATGAGTATGCCTATTTCCTACTTTTTAAAAAGCATTTCTCTTTTGGAGAGGAGAACACACACGTGGCACAGGCACAAGTATGTATGGGTATGTATTTGTGTAGGTCAGATGATAGCTTGCAGGATTCAGTTCTCTCCTTCCACTTGGATTCTGGGTCTCTCTCTCTCCGTGTGAGCTCTGAGGAATGAACACAGGTCATGCCAGCCACAGTATCTTGTTCCCTTTAAGCAAAGTGAATATATTCCAGAGATATCTTTTCGTCTTCAAAGAATTCATGACCAGAAAAAAAAAAAACAAAAAAACAAAAAAAAAAAAAAAAAACCACTGAGGTTTAGTAGTTTTCATGATGTGATTTAATCTGTAAAATGGATAGCTAGCAAGCAGCCAAGAGAGGGCACTGTTGAATGTGTTTCAGAGAAACATACAGTAGGGATTAGAAACTGCCAGTAGATCTTCCAGAAAGATACCAAGAAGTTAACAGAACCTCCAAACATCCATGCAGCAGTGAATTTGCTTGTTGTGCTTTTTGAAGCAAGGTTTCCCTAATTTCAAAAAGCCTAGATAATCCAGACTGGCCTCCACTTCACTGTATAGTCCAGGCTGGCTTGGAAATTATCCTCCTGCCTCAGCCTTCCCAAGTGCTTGGATTGTAGTTGTGTAGCACCACACCCAGCTCACAGGGAGATTGGGGACTCTTCCTTCTCAGTCAGTCCCAAAGTTTCCCTTTGCAAGTCTCACTGGCTTATTATATGCCTTGGAGAAAAGTGGGTAAACTAGAAGAGAAGCATTTGCTAGGGAGGCAGATGTGATCAATCCATTTCTACAAGACAGACACAATATTTCCAGACTTGCTCTGTCTGAGGGGGAGCTGATGAAGTTGTAAAAGTGTTCTTCTTTTCTTTCCTTTCTTTACAGAGGCATCTATGAGTATGAACTCACCTTGCGAACTGACCTCTACACAGACAAACACACCCAGTGGTTTTACTTTAGAGTTCAGAATACCAGAAAAGACGTTACCTACCGTTTCACCATTGTCAACTTGCTGAAGCCCAAGAGTCTCTATGCAGTAGGCATGAAACCTCTTATGTACTCTCAGTTGGATGCCATCACCTACAACGTTGGCTGGAGGAGAGAAGGACATGAAATCAAGTACTATAAGAACAACATGGATGATGGGCAGCAGCCCTTATACTGTCTCACCTGGACCGTTCAATTTCCTCATGACCAGGACACTTGCTTCTTTGCACACTTTTACCCATACACTTACACTGACTTGCAATGCTATCTCTTGTCAGTTGCAAACAATCCCATCCAGTCTCAGTTCTGCAAGCTCCGAGCTCTATGCAGGAGCCTAGCAGGGAATACTGTCTACTTGCTTACCATCACCAATCCATCCAGGACTCCCCAAGAGGCAGCTGCAAAGAAAGCCGTGGTGTTGAGTGCCAGAGTTCACCCTGGAGAAAGTAATGGCTCCTGGATCATGAGAGGCTTTTTGGACTTCATCCTTAGCAACTCCCCAGATGCCCAGCTCCTCAGGGATATCTTTGTCTTCAAGGTGATTCCCATGTTAAATCCAGATGGCGTGATTGTGGGGAATTACCGGTGTTCATTGGCTGGAAGGGACTTGAACAGGCACTATAAAACTGTTCTTAAGGATTCTTTCCCTTGCATTTGGTACACCAAGAATATGATCAAAAGGTGAGACTTCTTCGTTGATAATCTTTCGAACGCTGTGACCTTAATTAATGCCAGATACTCTATCTATAAGGAAGGAGGTCTTGTCTCCTGTTTTAGGAGTTTGGTATGGCTTTGGAGAGTCTTGGACTATGGGTTAATTTTGTTCTTTAAATCACACCAGATCTTTAAAAGAAAATGGAGCATGTATCAACCTATCTGAAGGAGACCCACACAGCAGAGGCTCTCTCTCAGACCCTGGGTAGACACCTCGGTAGCTCGCTTTAGGAATGTAATCTAATGGTTTTTAGCAAGGCAAAGGGCATTGGTGAGAAGGGCAAGGCATGCCAGACCCACATGCTCAAGTGGCCTGGTCCCTTCAATGTCAACCCTTTCGCTTGACACCCACCCCATTTCTCCCCCCCCCCCAAATTGCACTTAAAGCTTAACACATGCTAGGCAAGCACTCTGTCACTGAGCTACAGTCTCAATTTCATCTTATTTTTGAGACAGAATCTCTCACTGAACCTAAAGCTTCCTATTTTGGTTGTACTGGCTGTCTATCCAGTCCCAGGGATCTGTGTATCTCTCCCAGCCATCCTTTCCAAGTTTCAGTTTTGGACACTCACCACCAAGTTCAGCATTTATATGGGTGCTGGGAATCTGAACTCAGGTCCCCATGTTTGGATAGCAAGCACTTTACCAACTGAGCCATCTCTCCAGCCTGCTTATTTCCTGTTTGTTTTTGATGCAGGGTCTGTCATGGAATTTGCTATGTAGATCGGATTAGCCTCAAACTACAGAGCTTTGCCTCCCTCTGTTGGGAGTAAGGCTTGTGCCACCACGCAGGGCTCAATTGTTTCTTTCTTTTTATTTTTAAATTTATGTATATGTGTGTAAGTGTATACAAGTACTTGTGGAGAGGTAATTGCGAGCTGCCTATGTGGGTGCTGGGAACATGGACATCTGGCACATGTTCTAAACCACCAAGCCATCTCTCCAGTCCTTTTTTTTTTTTTTTTTTTTTTTTTTGTTTTTGTTTTTGTTTTTGTTTTTTTGTTTTTGTTTTTTTGAGACAGGGTTTCTCTGTGTAACAGTTCTGGCTGTCCTGGAACTAGCTCTGTAGACCAGGCTGGCCTCAAACTCAGATCCACCTGTCTCTGCCTCTGAGTGCTGGGATTAAAGGCATGCACCACCATCCATGCCTTACCAGTTGTTTCATTTTTAAGTCAAACACTTGGTTGGAAAAGGTCAGGGAAGTTTTACTAGTCATGTAAAACTATAATCATAAAGAAGCTAACAGTGCTTAAGTATGAAGTAATGGATGCTATGATCAGTACTTTACACTTTGGCCCATTTAATATCCCCATTAACCCTATGAGATTACATAGGGTCAATATCCACTGTGGCATGCAATAAGGAAATTGAATGCCAAAACTGTTAAAAAGCTTAAACAAGGTCTCAAGCTCATAAGCAAAAGGGTAGGTATTTGGACATAGGCTCTCTGAATCCAGGATCTGAGTCCCCTAATCTCACCAAATGTTGCTTCTAAGGAAGATAAAGTAGGAAATCAGCCTGCAATTTCAAGTCTGTGTGAAAGCAGCTTGAAGCTATCAGATAACAGCCCCATCTTAAAAGAGCTGCCATTCCATTGGAAGTGAACTCAGAAGATAAGACGTGAATCACACCTGTATGAACAGATAAGAGAAGGGTTGGGCTGAGGCTTTTGGCCAACATGTGAGAATTGGTTTTGCTATTGACTAATTCTGTGACCATAGGTAGGTAAGTGTTTTAATTTCTTATGAGTTTAGATGTCCACTGCATCCTTTGTTTGTTCCTCAATAGACTTCTGGAAGAAAGAGAGGTTCTCTTGTATTGTGATTTCCATGGTCACAGCCGCAAGAACAATATCTTCCTGTATGGCTGCAATAGCAACAGTCGCAGGCACTGGCTTCATGAGCGTGTCTTTCCCTTAATGTTGAGCAAAAATGCACCAGATAAGGTAAGCATGTGCCCAGCCGCTGGTTGGTGGCATACGCCTTCAGTCTCAGGGCTTGGGAGGCAGAGGCAGGCGGATCTCTGTGAGTTCAAAGCCAGCCTGGTCTACAGAGCTAGTTCCAGGACAGGCTCCAAAGCAATACAGAGAAACCCTGTCTCGAGGAAAAAAAAAAAAAAAAAAAAAAAAAAGTAAGCATGTGCTATCACTTTCAGACAGAGGAACAAAGCACACTTCCTAGATGAAGTGTCTTATTTGGCTCATCACATTTAATGCTGTTATCCTTATTGAATCCCAGGATCCTAGGTGTCAAGAATTAAAGTATAGCTTAAGAATTGCTGGCTCAGGGACTGGAGAGATGGTGCAGTGTTAAGAGCACTTGTTGCCTTTGCAGAGGGCCCAAGTTCAATCCCCAGCACCTACATGGTGGCCACAGCCATCTGTAACTCTAGTTCTAGGGGATCTGATGCCCTCTTCTGACATCTAAGAGCACCAGCCACACACATAATGCACAGGCACCCTGGCAAAACACTTACACACATAAACAGTTTAAATCTAAAATAATTACTTTTAGTTTTTGTTTTTTTGAGACAGGGTTTCTCTGTTCTGGCTTCCTGGAACTCACTCTGTAGACCAAACTGGCCTCTGCATCCCAAGCGCTGGGATTAAAAGCTTGCCCAGCTAAACACCATGCCCAGCTAAAAAAAGTTTTTCAAATAGTTGTTTTCATGTTGCTGGATCATCCAGGCATGGTGGTACATGCTTTAATTCCAGCACTCTGGAGGTAGAAGCTAGCAGATCTCTGTGATTTCGAGGACAACCTAGTCTACATTGCAAATCCCAGGCTAGCAGAGGCTACAAAGTAAGATCCTGCCAAAAAGCAAAAAGGAAAGGAATTTCTGGGTCCATGACTTGATAATGGATTAAGTATGGAATATCCATATAGTGGAATGTTATTTACAATAATGTAAGTTTTAAATGCTGATATGCTAGGACACAGATGAAACTTGATCACATTAAGTTAAGTGAAAGAAATCAGATGAAATACCATATGATTCCATTGCATTCCATATTCATAAAATACTTTTTCTGACCATGCTAGGGATCAACCAGGGCCTTGTTTGTGCTAGCTATTGAGCAATATCTGCAGTAAAGGCAAATCTACACTTGTTTGTTTTTAGAACAGGGTAGTAAGAGAATGCCCGAGGACATGTGTGCAGGTCAGAGGACAACTGTCAGGAGCTGGCTCTCTCCTTCTACCATGTAGTTCCAGGGATAAAAATCAGGTCCTTAGACTCGGTGATAAAGTGCCAGCCCTTGGCAAATCTATAAAGCCAGAAGTGGTTCAGTGATCGCTGTGTGGGGTGTGAGTGAACAGGAGGGTACTGGTAATGAGTAGTGAGTATCTTTTTTTTGGGGGGGGGGCTTTTCCACCAGTAAAGCTGGCATCAGTCTGGGATTTGTAAAGGTGGGCAGGTGCCTTAGCACCAGCTACAACCTTAGTCCTTGGATTTCTCCTGTGGTTATGCAGATGTTCCAACCTGCATATCAGATTGTGGTGATGACTGAACAACTGTATATACATAATAAGCTGTTGGATTTTATGCTGAGGTCATTAATTTGGGGCTGTGTTTTTGTTTATTTGTTTGTTTGAGACATGGACTTGGTCTATAGCCCTGGTTGCCCCCAAATTCTCTGTTTACATCAGCAGCAATCCTCCTGTCTCTTCAAATAGCAGGATTACAGACATGCACCACCATGCCTGATTGAGTTATATATGTCGACTAGGTAATTGTGTAATGTAAATGAATTTGGGGTTTTTTTTATTTGTTTGTTTGTTTTGGTTTTCCAGACAGGGTTTATCTGTAGCATTGGAACCTGTCTGCCTCAAACTCACAGAGATCTGCCTGCCTCTACCTCACAAGTACTGGGATTAAAGGTGTACCTTACCATCGCCCGGCAAATTTGTTTTTTTATGTGTAAATTATTTCGGTAAGAAATGAATATGTGTGTGTGTGTGTTGTGTGTGTGTGCGCGCGCGCGTGTGCACGTGCATGCTAAGGGCCTCATGCATAATAAGCACATGCCCCACCACTGAGCTCAAACCCATCTCAAGATTTACTTATTATTTGATTTTTTTGAGACAGGGTTTCCTTTGGTTATCCCCAACTATCTTGGCACTGCATCTGTAGATCAGACTGGTCTGGAACTCAGAGCTCCACCCACCTGTCTCTGCCTCTAGAGTGCTGGGACTAAAGGTGTGTGCCACCACTGCCCATCGATAATTTTTTTTAAGAAATTGCTCTGGATATTTCACCTGGGCAAAAGTTGAAACTCTTGCTGGGTGAGGTGATTACCTGTCACCTTTCACTCTCTGCTTATCAGGGGAAGGCTTTAAAGGACTAGCAGTGTTAATGACAAACAGGGGAGATGGCTCAATTGGTAAAATGCTTGCTATGCAAGCATGGGGACCCTGATTCCAGAACACACATAAAAAGCTGGGCATGTGGTGATCACTTGTAATCATGGTGTTGGGGAGACAGATGGATCCCTGGGGCTGGACAGCTGCCTGGCCCACTCAGCAGTCCCAGGCTCCTGAGAGGGCCTGTCTCAAAACAAAAGTGAATGGCTCCTGAAGAAAGACACCCAAAGTTGACCTCTGGTCTCTACACATGTAGGCGCACACACACACCGATTCACATATACACCTATGCACACTCCATACAAAATGTTCATGTTATATGAGTCTCTACTACACAAGATCACAAATACCCAGGGCCGGTAACACACCTGTCCATAATCCTAGCACTTCGGAGTTCAAGACCGAAGACAACATGGGGCTATCTTAGACAGAGAACTGCAAAGCTAGTGAAAACAACATTACAGCTTCATAGTTAACTAACAGCTTTGTGATCATTGGACAAATATAGATAATTTGCATTAGTTTAGAAGTTTTTTCCCATCATAAGCAGGTTCACAAATATAACTGCCGTTAGAGGTTACATTGGATTTAGAAACATATAGTTCAGTTCAGGGAGTGCTTGCCCAGCTTGTATAAACTGGACAATGCAGTACACACCTGTAATTTTAGCACTCAGGAGGTAGGGACAGAAGGTTCAGAGCTTCAGGGCTATCCTTGGCTACATAGTGAGTTTGAAGCCAGCCATAATGAACCCCCAAGACAAAAATCAAAACCAGTGTGAGAAATGTCTTACACAAGCCATTCTTATTACAAAGAGAAGCGTTTCCCTTCCCCTTTTGTCTTCAGATGAAATCATAAAGATAAGTCAGTATCTAGAACAGCTAAGTGCAGAAGTGTAGCAGCTGAATGTTGGGGCAGGAACTAGAGCCCAGCCAGCTCTCGCTCAAGTCTTTGTGGCAGGGATGCTCTAAGATACCTCTCTAAAGCCCCTGGATTCCACAGGGTTAGATGGTGAGACACCTGCTTGTAGACAGGGTGGTGTCAAGACATGTTACAGACTGTGAATGATGAAGAGCTGAGCTGGGCATAAAAGGCAAAGGAGGGCATTGAACTCCCAGAGAAAAGACTAATGCCATGGAGGGAGAGAGCTCTAGACAGAGATTGTGGGGGTAAGAAACATACAGATCAAAAAGTCTATGTGGAGGAAAACCTAGATCTGAGAGTTCATATTTTGTGATAGAAAGTAAGTCGTGGAGCCCCAGCACTCTTGAGCTGCAGGAGGGCTGAGAAATTACTGGGTTACATGTCAAGGAAAGGAAGAAATGGCATAGAAAAGCTGGCTACTGCCAAAAACGGCCAAATGTGCCCCTGTCCCCAGATTTCTAGGGATTCTATCTAGCAAGATACTCTGGGAGGAGGAGCAAATAAGGATGGAACATAGAATTATCTGTATCTTTTTCTCTTAAAGATCACAGTCCACGTTAATGCTGTGAGGTCTATTTAGTTAATACACTATCTCCCAACCGAGCTGACAGCAGAGCTCCTTACCCACCTGTAGATGGGTTTTTTTTTTTGTTTGTTTGTTTGTTTTTTTTTGTTTTGTTTTGTTTTCTTTCTTTCTCTTTGCTCTTCGGGGGACCACCACCCAGCTCCCAAATCTTTGTGAATGCCTGGCTTTAACTTGGCTTCTTCTAGCCAGCTTTCCTTTCTTTCTTTCCTTTTTTTTCTTTCTTTCTTCCTTTCTTTCTTTCTTTTGTTTTTGTTTTGTTGTTTTTGTTTTTAGTTTGTTTAGTTGAGACAGGGTTTCTTTGTGTAGCTTTGGAGGCTGTTCTGGAACTCACTCTAGACCAGGCTGGCCTTGAATTCACAGAGATCCTCTTGCCTCTGCCTTCCGAGTGCTGGGACTAAAGGCGTGTGCCACCAACACCCGGCCTATCCAACTTTTCTTAACTTAAATTGTCCAACCTATCTTTTGCCTCTGGGCTTTTGCCTTTCTCTACTCTATACACCTGTCTTACTCCTTATTCTGTAGCTGGCTGGGTGGCTGATCCCTGGCATTCTCCTTCTCCTTTCCTAGATTCTCCCTCTTCTTCCTCCTATTTATTCCTCCCATTTATTCTCTCTGCATGCCAGCCAAGACTGTTTCTCTCTCCTGCTTAGCTATTTATTAGACCATTCAGATATTTTAGACAGGCAAAGTAACACAGCTTTACAGAGTTAAACAAATGAAGCATAAACTGGGTGGTGTTGGCAGCACACACCTTTAATCCCAGCACTCCGGAGGCAGAGGCAGGCAGATCGATCTGTGAGTTCAAGGCCAGCCTGGACTACAGAGCTAGTTCCAGGGCAACTAGAGCTGTTACACACATACACACACACACACACACCTACCTCGGAAAAAACAAAACAAAAAAAATGTAACATAAGAGAATGCAACACATCTTTGCATCATTAAACAAATATTCCATAGCATAAACAAATGTAATACACCTTAAACTAATATTGCACAACACCCACCACTACCTTTTGACATTTCTCAAAATTAGTGGTGGTGCACTTTGATCCCAGTATTCAGGAGGCAGAGGAGGCAGATCTCTCTCTGGTTCCAGGACCAGGGCTATACAGAGAAACCCTGTGTTGAAAAACCAAAACCAGCAACACAACAGCAACAACAAGAAAAACCAATGTCTTAATGGAATATATTTTAGAAAATAATACATAAAACAAGAATGGCTCTCAAAGAACCATTCTCGTTTTACACTGATGACTCTTAGACACCTTGCATTTGCCAGTTTACATAATTAACAGAGACCTTGGGTCTTTTTTTAGTTCTGTTTTGACAGTTGTAACTTTAAAGTCCAAAAATGCAAAGAAGGGACAGGACGAGTTGTGATGTGGCGGATGGGCATCCTAAACAGCTACACCATGGAGTCTACCTTTGGCGGGTCCACGCTGGGTAAGAGGCCAGCAAGCCTAGCATCTGGGAGATGACAGGCTTGGCAAAGTCCGAGAAACAACTGATGTGGAGGATTTCCTTGCCAGCCTTAGGTACCATAAGTGCAAATGTGAAATAGAGTGCATCAGTGAGCTTTGTATCACAGTGTTTCCTAAGGACCTGGGATAAGGAATCAGTTTTGACTTCCAGCTACATTTATTAAGTTCTGTGATCTGGCTTTGAAACTCATATCCCCTCTAAGTGACAATACTAGTGCCTGAATTGTGAATACTGCTCAAAGTAAAACCAAATAATTTAAAAAGAGCCTGATAGTCCATTACATTAGTAAACTTTGTCATTGTCAAAGGTTCTTCTGAACCAAACTAAAGCTAGCTTTAGTTTGTTCCTGTTCAGAAGCATACTATTCTAGAATAAGAAATGGTATTTTAAATTTACTTTTATCTCTATCCGTGTGTAGTGTGCGTGTGTGTGTGTGTGTGCGCACGCGCGTGTGTGTACCATGTCTCTCTCTCTCTCTCTCTCTGTATGTCTACCATGTGTGTGCAGTTGCTTGCAAGGGTCGGAAGAGAGAGTTGGGTCCCTGGGAGCTGGAGTTATAGGCAGTTATGAGTGGTCCAGTGTGGGTGCTGGGAACCTAACTCGGGTCCTGAGGAAGCACTATTAATGTTGAGCCATTTCTCCAGCCCTGTAGGGCGTGGCATTCTAAACATGTACTCACAAATTAGATCTGCATTTAGCAAGTAAGGGGGCTGGAAAGACCCCCTCAGCTGTTAGAATCGCACACCACTCCTGGAGAAGATCCAGGTTCAATTCCTTAAAAAAAAAAAAAAAAATGCTTGCTGCTCTTCCAGAGGTCCTGGGTTTGATCCTAGCACTCATGTCCAGCAGTTCACAACTCTCTGTGACTCCAGCTTCTGAGGACCCAATGCCTCTGGTCTCCCCTGGTATTTGTACTTGTGTACACAGAAACCTGTATCTACACACAATTTTTTAAATTTTATTTTTATATCTATGTGTGTGAGTATTTTGCCTGTGTGTATGTATTATGTGCGCCACATGCATGAAGTGTCTGCATAATTCAGAAGAGGTCATTTAATCCCCTGGAACTGGAGTTATAGATGGTTATGAGCCACCATGTGAGTGCAGGGACCCTAACCTGGGTCCCTTGCAAGAGCAGCAAATGCTCTTAACTGCTTAGCCACCTCTCCACCCCCAGTTTTTAAACATCTAACAGAAAATTATGATTTTTTTCCAGGCAGTAAAAGAGACACTCATTTTACCGTTGAGGACCTGAAGTCCCTAGGTTATCATGTCTGTGACACTATTCTGGATTTCTGTGATCCTGACCAGACCAAGGTAAAAACTGAGTTTCAAGAAATATGGTACCCCTACTCTGCTGAACTTCATCTGGTCCAGAGTCCACCCAAATGATCTCTGTTTCGTCTAAATATTTTTTTTACCTGATGTTTTTATCACCAGAGAAAATAGAACCCCTAGCCTGTAACTGCTAACAAAGGGTAACAGGTAATAATCCCCCTGGAAGGAAGAGGCCATCCTTTGGCACCCCTCACCCTAACTGACAGGGTGGCTCATGGCGGCACTGGTTCATGCTTGTGTGTTTTCTATTTCAGAAAAACTGCATACATGGCACACTTGCCAATCCTATCCTCTGTAGACTCCCCTCTGTAGCCGGCCTGAATAAGATCAGGCCACGGTGGCTGGTTGCTTTCTCTCCACTGTGTCATCAGGCTTTTCATCTTTGCACCCTTCCCTTCCACTGCAAGTATTGTCACGCTTGCTCTGTCTGGAAGCATGAAGGTTTCCTTTGGCCTTGTTCTTCTAGTGCCTACTTTTGATGCCCTTACTCAATTTGAGAGGGGGGGACCCATAGTCTCTAACTCATATCCCTGTTTAAGTGTTGGCTTGATTCGACACTTGGTTAAAAAAATTAAAAGTTCTGTTTAATTAGTGCTTCCCTTTCCCCTGGTGGTGATGGAGATGGAGAACAAGACCTTCTTGCTCATGTGAGCCAAGCACTCTCCAACTGACCTACAACTTTGTCCAAACCATCCTTGCCGTAGGCCAAAATCTGAACAGTGACATTCTAACTACTCCTTCCTTGCACCTCAGAAAAACAGATGACACAATTGTAGAAGTGGGTTATAGCCAGAGAAGTGACATAGGCAATGCTCGATGACCTTCTGCTTTAAAATAGTTTTATTTGCATAGCCCAGGCCACCTATCCGTTACCATGTCCTTAGTAGAAGGGAGTATAGCTTACCCCATCAATAAAGTAAATGCCCTTCAGCATACCCTCAAAAGTGGCTCATGACTAGTGTATAAAACTTTTTCCCTTTGCTGCAGTACACTCAATGTCTACAAGAGCTTAAGGAGCTCTTACAACAGGAAATACATAAGAAGTTCAATAACTTTGGACAAGATATGGACTTAGATGGGAACTGGAGTGACATTCCTTTGTCTGACATTGAATCCAGGTAACATTTCATTTCAATGAAAATCTGGGATTGGTAACACATCCTTGATCCTAGTTCTTGGGAGACAGAGGCAAGGGGATTTGGAATTTAAGGAGACAACTCTTGCTGTATCACCATGGAGCTCATAGAGATCTGCCTGCCTCTGCTTGATTAAAAGCATGTCCATTTCCTGAGACCTTGACCTTTAATCCTAGCACTCTAGGGGGAGATGTAAGCAGATCTCTATAGTGAGTTCCAGGAAAGCTACGTAGAGAGACCCTATATCTTAATTACTTTTCTATTGCTTCAACAAAATACCATGACCATGATAACTTAGAGAGGAAAGTTTTTAATTGAACTTATGGTTTCAGAGAGTTAGAATCCATGATGGCAGAGCAAAGGCATGCTGGCAGGAACAGCTGAGTGCTCACACCTTTTCTTAGTTTTGTTTTATCTTGTTTTGTTTGAAATAGGGTCTCACTAAATATCTCTGGCTGTCCTGGAACTCATTAATTAGACCAGAGTGGCCTTGAATTCATAGAGATCTGCCTGCCTCTATCTTTCCCCCAGTGCTGGGATTAAAGGTGTGCCACCACACTGACTCAGAGAGCTCATATCTTGAGCTGGAAGTAGGAGGCAGAGAGAGAGAGACACTGTGAATGGCTCCAGTCTTTTGAAACTTCAAGCCAGTGATACACATCCTCCAAAATGGCCACATCTTCTAGTCCTTTCCAAACAGTTCCACTAACTGGGGAACATATGAACCATTCTCATTCAAACCACCACTCTGTCTCAAAAAAACAAAACAAAGCATCTCTTTTAATAATACAAATTGAAGGTGATCATAATTTAGAACAAGATATTAGTAGTGATTGAAGGAAGTGTCAAACTGATTGGATTCTAGATTGTTTTTCAGTCTTACAGTCTTAATGCTCTGAAAAAAGGCAGACTAGCAAACAGAAGTGAGGACGGTGGGGCTTCCCAAGCCCAACTTAGCAACCAGTCAGTCCTTATCAAGTAGTTAGATCCTGTTGTGGTCAAAACAGTTAGGTGTCTTGATGGTGAGCCATTGGCCTTGCAGTATTTCTCAAGCTTCTGCGATTCCAGCTGAACCCACTCCTGCATCCTAAAATCAGACAGGTGATCCACAAAGGAACTGTCAGTGACAGGAACAATGGAAAAGGCAAGGAAGAAAGCAGTCTTCTCTTCACCATAGGCTTCTGTAACTCTGAGATTCTGGGTTCTTCTAATAGAGTTGTCTGTCCAAGGGATCTATACTCACCTATGGGCAGTAAGAACACAAACTTGGTATCCTAGCCACAACTACAATCATGCCTGGATTCTGGCTTTATTTTTATTAAAGCCTTTAATATTTTGTTTAATTTTTTAAGTTATATTTTTATTTTATATATATGAATTGTTTGCCTGCATGTATGTGTAAGGAGTAAGGTTTTTCTGTATTTGATATAATGCTGTTGGCTAGTTACTTGTTTCTTGTGGGCTAGCTCTGTCTTAATTATTAACCCATTTCTATTAATCTAAGTACTTCCACGTGGTCTTATCTTACCGGAGAGAGCGGCTGGCGTTCTGCTCTCTCAGTCCACCATCTTGGAACTCTACATGATGACTCCTCCTTACTACTTCCTCTTTCCTCCTTGTCTCCTAGTCCCACCTGTCTTGCTTTCCTATTGGCCAACGGTGCTTTATTCCTTAACCAGTATGAGAAACGTATTTACAGAATGACATCTCCCATCATGTATGTATATATGTATGTATGTAGGTGTATCACGTGTGTGCCTGGTGCCCACAGAGATCAGAAAAGGGCATCAGATCCCCTAGACCTGGATGTAGAGATGCTGTGGGCCTCCAGGTGGGTGCTGGGAACTGAACAGGGGTCCTCCAAAGCAGCCAGTACTCTTAATCCTTGAGCCATCTCTCTAGTGGGGCATATAGTGTTTTATTCAAATCCAAACACCATTCCCTCCCCTCGGGTTCTTCCCTAATTCCCGCTAGTATGGTTCTCTTCCAACTTCATGTTTTCTCTTTTTCATGGGTGTGCAAGAATAGCACCCTTCACTCCAGCTTTCTGTGCAAGGTGCCTCTGATTGCCCTAGTCATTTTTCAAAGGTTACAGGGCTGGGTTTGGAAATTTCCATCTTTGCAAGACAGTTAGAAGGGTGTGCCTGCTCTACCCACTCCAATTCTGCTAGCCCAGTCTCACAAATGTTCCTATAGAAGACTCAAATCACAACATCAGACCAGGCAGAGTGGTCTGTTAACTCATTACCACTTCTTCTCTTCCTCAGTACACTGCACTAGCCCCTATTTTCAGCCTAAAAAAAATGAAATGTCCTGTGCATATCAGCTCACTGATACACAGAGCCCAGGAGAACCAATGGCAGAGACAGACTCTATACTATAGCTGACTCAGCGGGAACGCTGACATGTTCAGTTAAGAATTAGAAGATACAGTCTGCCAACTTCTATACCACAAAGTCAGATGTCACAAACTTCCTTGGGGTTCTACCTGTCCATTCTCACAATTGCACACAAAGGCAGGCTAGGAATGATGAGGTTGCTCTGTGTGTGCACACAATTGACGTTTCCTGGGGCATGCTACATCTAATACCTTCATATCCCATTTGGTAAAGTAGGCTATTATTTCCATAAAAGACTACAGAACCTATTGCCCAACAGCCTCAAAGCCCCCTTCTTCACTGGAGAAGCCTTTGAGAACAGCATGTTGGAAATTAGATCTCAGAAAATAGGGCTTTCTTCCCACTCTGTTGTGATGGGACTCCTTGTTGCACACCAAGGGGAGGGAGCAAAATGGAGTGAAGGACTAGGCAAGTGGTCTGAAATGCTTTTTTTCCCCCTGTGAAATTTGAGTTTTGTGTGCAAGATACTTTTTTATTTTAAATCTAATTTTATTTATTATTATTATTGGGAGAGTGGAGGAACTGAACTCAGGTCACCAGGCACTTTTATCTACTGAACCATCCCACTGGCCGTGAAGATACTTTTTAGAGACTCTGTTCTATACAGTGTAATTTTCAGTTCTAGTCCACCATATCTCAGGTAAATGCAGGTGATATGATGAGACAAGTTTAACTGTCTGAGTCCCTGTTCCTCCCAGGCCTTGCAAGAAGGGGCAGAAGAGAGTTTGTGGAGGACAGTTTTAGATTAGTCTGTATGTGCATTCGGAACTTGTGAATGAAGAACTGAATTAAAAACAGTGTGTGTGTGTTTGTTGTTGGTTCTTTTGAGACAGGATCTCACAAGGTAGACTTGACTAGACTGGAACTCACTATGTAAACCAGGCTGGTCTCAAAGTCAGAGAAATCCACGTGCCTCTGCCTCCTGAGTGCTGGGATTTAAAGACATACATTACCACACGCAGCTGTTTCTTCTTCATCGAAACAGGGTTTCACCACAGGCTCTGCTGGACTCACCCCAGCAGCCCTGCTTCCGGGCCCCCCAGGGCAGGCTTTATACTTGTGCATCACTACACCTGGCTAAAAGCTCTTGAAGTAATTTTATGGTGTTTACCCTACTGATTATTTGTCACATTTATTTATTTGTTTGTTTGATTTTGTTTTTTTGTTTTGTTTTTGTTTTTTTGAGACAGGGTTTCTCTGTGGCTTTGGAGGCTGTCCCAAAAGTAGCTCTTGTAGACCAGGCTGGTCTCGAACTCATAGAGATCCACCTGCCTCTGCCTCTCAAGTGCTGGGATTAAAGGCCTGTGCCACCACTGCCCGGCTGTTTATTTATTTATACATTCAGCATGTTTCCCCAGAGTAACTGGTAGAATCCTGGCTTTGGGGAATTAGTATCAGCTCAGAAGGAATGAAGGAGGAGGGAGTGCCTCCATCCTCAGGGAAATCAGTCTCTAGGACTGCACGCTGCATGTCCCATGGCCCCTCTCACCCTCTGCCAGGCACCTTTGCCCATCCGGTCAGTTTTTGCTTTGCCATACTTACTGTGAACTCCTCGAGCTGAACCTCTGCTTTTGAATGACAGTTGTTTCCATGTCTTCTTCCCATTTTTTCCTAGCACGAGTGGCTCTGACAGCTCTCTTTCAGATGGTCTTCCTATCCACCTACTGAGCATAGCAGATGAGGTGAGAGTTCACTGATTCTTATACACACCCAAAACATTTAAACTTAGAGAGAGAGAGAGAGAGAGAGAGAGAGAGAGAGAGAGAGGAACCAAAACACCATAATGCTAGATAATTGGAAAAATGTCCCAACGATCCTAAAATCTACAGGAACTATAGCACCAGCCCCAGGGACGAAGCTCAGGAAGAAATCAATTGCCTAGTAGGAATGAATTCCTGCTTTCAGTCACCAGTAACTCAAAAAGAAAATTGCAATAGTGTCCTAGCTACCCCAAATATGTCACCGTGTCCTTTATATGCTTCTTGCTTAATTGCTGGCGCTTCTTTATAGTAACAGTGTGGTGAATGTTTAAACCACATGGCAGTGATCAGAGTCTTCTTGACCTGATCTTGTCATCATAAGTCATCTGGTTTCATGTCGTCAGTCACATGCATTTGGCTATTGGTCCAGGTGCCCCTTTGGTAGCTATCTATATTTGTGGGGGAGCCAGGCATGTTAAATAGGGAACAGCCCCTGGAAATAAATAAGGACCACATGCCAGGTTCCTATGTGTCTGCTGTTCCTCGAAGACTGCCCCATGAGGATGGGTGTAATTCTGCCCGCCCCTCTGACCAGTTTCTCTGTAACTTCTGGAACAGTTGAATCAGAAGATGATCTTAAAGAAGCCAAAAAAGAAGAGACTTCAGACAAGAAAACAGCGAAATGAGCAGTACCAGAAGAACTATTTGATGCGGGAGTTGAAGTTGACAGAGAACAGTACCCCAGTAAGCAATCTCCGCCGCCCCCTCCTGCTGTCTATTGTTCCTGTTTGAAGAGGAGGCAGGGCTAGAGTGTATTCCCTGCTAGAAGGGGTGGTGGGAAGAGGGTTGTTTCCTGTTTGAGGACAGAGCCCTTCCTCAGGTCCTCTGAATGTGTCTGAGCAGATCTCAGCCTCACCCCACTGGTCCTCTCCTACACTCCCCTCAGGCCCAGCAGGTACAGGTTATAACTAAAACTGGATTCCCACAGGAAATAGGTGGAGTTGGAGTGTGTTAGCTGGAACTCAGCTAGAGTGGCTGGGGTGGTGGTGAGCTGAGGGGTTGGGGGGCAACCCCTCTCCACCTTGTTTGTAGCTAGCATACCCGCTTTCTAACACAGAAATACTTTCAAAGCATCTCACTGTTGGGTAAATTGGGTAGAGAAGGAATGATCAACTGAACAACCTTTCACTCAATCTTTGTAGGGAAGGGCAAGATTTGCTTCTACTCTGCAAAAACAGCCTACTTTTTTGAAAAATCCTGAGAATTCTAGTGCTTCAATAATAAGAAATGAAACACCAAGGCTCAATGAGGTAGTATTTTTGCTTGACTCTTTGTCACACAGATTTTCTGATTTCTCCAATTAGCACATCAGTTCCACTAGGTGAAGGGTGCAGTAGTCATTGTGTTACCTGGAGGTGAAGATGATGCTAACATTGCTTTGTATTAAAAACTGAAATCTTGTATCAAATATTGATGATTTGTGGTTTTATATCAAGAACATAAGAGGAGGCTGCTTTACTTATCCATACAAGCATTCATACAAACATCCACACATTAACAAGCTTTATCTTGGTGCCTACTATGTGGCAAGTCCTTTACTGGACATAAGGTACTGACTGTCCTTTCCCCCGAGACCTCAGAATCTGGTGGGCCTTTCCAACAAGTCAGCAGGAATTGTGTTGCAGAGAGAGACACGTGGAGAAGAGGCAGGTGGACAGTTTTCAGTACTTTAGGATCTTACAGATGAAATCCTTGATTCTCACTGGATGTGTTGGCACACACCTGTATTCCCAGCACTTGAGAAGTAGAAGCAGGGGAACCAATGAGTTCTACATGAGAAAATGGAAAAAATAGTAGGTTTCAGAGAATAAGTATATAGCTTACCTAGTATGTGCAAAGCCCAAGTTCAATTCTCAGCATTGCTTTAAAAGTTGTTTTTTGAACCAGGCATAGTGACATAGGCCTCTAATACCAGCTCCTGAAAAGACTAAGGCAGACGAACCACAAGTTCAAGGCAAGTCTGGGTAACTTAGAAAGACCCTTCTCAAACTATGGAGAAAAAGGTCCTGGGAAGGTGGCTCAGCAGTTCATAGTGCTTGCTGTTCTCACAGAGATTCAGTTCCCAGCACCCCACATCAGGCATCTCTAACCATCTATAGCTTCAGAGGATCTAATGCCCTCTTCTGGCCTCCTCAGGCACCTGTATGTATATGGCACACACTTATACAGATGTATATTACAACTGAGCTAATAATCATATATATACACATACGTACATATCCCAAAATAAAGTTTTTGTTTTTGTTTTTAATCAGACAGTGGTGGCACATGCCTTTAATGACAGCACTTGGGAGGCAGAGGCAGGTGAATTTCTGAGTTTGAGTCCAGTGTTGGTCTACAGAGTTCCAGGACAGCCAGGCCTACACAGAGAGACCTGTCTAGAAAAACAAATAAATAAACAAAAACAAATAGATACATAGCTTTTTTAAAAACACTGAGAAAAAGGCTAGGATTATTAGCTCAGTTGTAGGGTACAAACATTACATAAAGGTCAGTGAGATGCCTCAGTGGATACAGGTGTTTTCGTCTAAACTTGCAACCCAAATTTGATTTCCAGAGTCCATAGTAGAAGAAAAAAGACAACTCTCAAGAGTTGTCCTATAACCTCCACATATGTGTCATGCATGTACTTGCTCACTCACACACACATATACACATGCACAGTAATAATAGATAGATATAGATAATAAGATAATAATAATAATAATAATAATAATAATAGATAATAAAGGCAGTGGTGATGCATGCCTTTAATCCCAGCACTTAGGAGGCAGAGGCAGGTGGATCTCTGTGAGTGAGGCCAGCCTGGTCTACAGAGTGATTCCAGGACAGGCTCCAAAACAAAAACAAAAAAGTAACGATACAAAATAATCTTCAGGCAAGGGTTGGGGAGATGGTTCAGTTGGCAATGTGCATGTGTGCAAGCACGAGGGCCTTAGCATGAATCTGTAGTTCCCACATAAAACCTGACATGGTAGTTCACTGTAATCTCAGTGGAAGAGGCAGACAGGAAGATCCAAGGGCCTCGTTGGCTGGCTAGTCTAGTGAATTGATAAGCTCCAGTTTAGGACAAAACTCCACACCCGGTTTCACCCTGACCACACGTGCTAACATACACTACACACATAATGCTCACATACAACAATACCTTCAGGCTGTATGTGTCAGTGCACATAAGAAACATTAATGAATTGTATACTTTCACTGGGATCTCATTTCTAAGAAATACTCTGAAATCCAAAACACTTGTGTTCCTAAGCATTTCTGAGAACTCTGTATTGTGTGAGTTACTCAATTAGCCAGGAACCTAGTTTCTGATCTTCAGCATTGAGGTGCAGAACCCTGCAGCCTATGGTGGCTTTTAGCTCTAGATGGGAAGCTAAAAAGTACCTGGCATGCACTGAATAAACATTAGTTCTCTTCTGAGCTGTTAACTCTTGTATGCTTTGCCTTCATTTTGTGTTGCATTATCTTTATGAGTCAACATGCATGCATGAAAATCACAGGACTAATGTGTATTCAATATTCCCACAACGTTCACAAGGAAAACTTAGCGAGGATGTATTCATTTATTTTAGACACAATTAAGTGGAAGAGACAAAGACTCCTCCCTGGATCAACCATTGACCAGCCTGGTTCTACCTAAGAATAAAGAAATAATTCAGGTACTTCACCTCCCTCATTTGTACATACACATGCCAACAGTTAATTTTAGTTCATTTCCTAGCTTGTTTGTTTTTCTTTGTGTGTTTAATCTTGTTTTGACTGAGACAATTTCTCAACTAGCCTAGAACTCATTATACAGACCTGGCTGGTCTCAGACTTGTGACCATTTTCTTGCCTCTGCCTCTCAGGTGATAAAATTATAGGTGTGTACCACCACATTCAGCTTAATTAATTTTCATATATATTGTGTGATTTGGATGAATAGTGCTGTTCTGCCCAGATGAACATCTAAGGTAGTTTGTACCCTCAGGCTCAAACCACCTGGCCACTCTGGAGCACAGCTCCCAAGATAGGACAGGGCTAAAATCTGGATATCAAGAACTTAATTTTAATTAATGTCTATTAGGCAGCCATAATTTTGTAGCTCTGTGACAGCATGTTAGTTGATACTTGGTATATAATGTTAATACATAAGATGTCACAGTTGGTAGAGGTGTATGCCTAACAGCCAGCATTAACAGTGATCACCCAAAACTGAAGTGTGTGAATGACTTGTCATCTGTCTTATGTTGCTATAACAGAATGTCTGTGTCTAGGTAATTACACCTATAAGTGTAAGACTGCTCAAGATAGGGTCCTCAAGGGAGAGTGACAAGACATAGATTACCATGGAGTAGGGCACACTGAAGAGAAGTTTAAATGCAACTGAAGGTTGGGGCAGAAGGATCACAAGCTTGGAGACAGGCAATGCATTTGAGGCCAGCCAGAACTACATAGCAAGTCCTTATTTCAAATAATCATGGGAGCTGGGTGTAGTGGCACATGCCTTTAGTCTCAGCACCTGGGAGGCAGACGTAGATGGATCTCTGTGAGTTTGAGGCCAGCCTAGTCCTGTTCCAGGACAGCCAGGACTATGTAGAGAGACTGTCTGAAAAAAAAGTAAATAAATAAATAGATGATAAAACTCCAAACCCAATAATAACAATTGTGGAGTAGAGAGATGGCTCAGCAGTTAAGAACATTTGCTGCTCTCCCAAGGACCTGAGTTCTGTTCCCAGCACCCATATAGTGGCTCACAGCATCCATTCCAGGGGATCTGACACCTTCTGTGCACATAAAACACGTAATAAAAACACTCATTTTTTTTACTTTACTATGTAAAATATTTTATTACAGATAAACTAGTATCTTTTTGTAACTAATAAAGTCAAACTAAAGAGAGTTGTAACAGACTAGTAAGTGATGGACTTGTCTTTTCTAATGGGGATGCAGTTTAACTGCCAGAGCATGTCAGACAGCACAGCTGCAAGTGTGGGGCAGCCCTTTCAACAGGCTAAGTTTCTCTTCCATTGTGCAGTGTTGGTAGACAGCTTATATATATAAAAAAGTCTTTCCACTTTCTGGATCTACCAAAATGTTGCCCAATGACCTCTACTTGGCTGAGAAACCTGACCAAGTGATTGATTCATTTCTGCCCTGTAACATTGTTGACTATTTTGGTACTCGGGGAGTAAATGTCTAGAAGGGCAATGCCAACCCTAAGTATAACTTAGAAATTGCAACAGAAAGTGAATTCAACTCTTTTATCTCGTTTGTGCAGAGTAAGAAGCCAGGCTTTACAGCATCATGCTCTCCAAAGAGAAGCACAAACTCCAGCCTAGGGCCAGCTCCAGATGTCAAGCCAAACTGGCCTAGGACTAGATACTCTGCCACAAGGAAAGACCGCACCGCCATGGCGGTGTACCCATCCTTGCACATATACACATACCCATAGGTGTGCTTTTGCTGTGACACACAGGCGCTTCCTCCAAAGGGTTTGGGTAGTTTTATTGGCTTTTGTTTTGTTTTATATGTAGTGAGTTGCACACATTTTATAAGAGGAAGTCTATGCATGAAATGGAAACTCTGTTTATGGTGTACCGTGTTGTACATTTGCCACACACTGACCTGCACTCTGTACTTCCAATGTTGTTCACTTATCGGCAGATGCATACCTCAGGAATTTAGTAATTTTATCCTAAGATTAGATTATATTTTGATGTATAGAGAAGCCTTTATTGGAAACTGAGGCATGTACTCATGAAAAGACAGCACATATATACCTCATTTTAAATCAATAGATGTTCCCTCTAAAGTTAGATGCAAATCAGTTTTTAAACATTTTTTGGGAGTGTGCCATATGAAAAAGTCTGTGTCAAAGTTTCCAAACGGTAAACAACCAGTCAGACTGTGGTGTATCAGGTTTGCTCAAAGTAAGGTATTCCTACATAGAAAAAAAAAAAAGTACATGTATTACTCATAATTTAATGTTGCTTATTTAACAAGGTTGTATAAATTTTTACGTGAACAATTAAAATTCTTTCTCTCTATTATTTGCTCCTTGACTATTTTACTACCCAATCTTATGTGAACAGATTTATTCATCAGTCATTCATTTTCTGTGACTCCTCATGAGCACCAGTCTCCCAGCTACATGTCATAGCGGAATTCAAAGTCACATTGAAGAAAAGTCATTCAGATGTGCTCATGCCTATAATCTTAACACATGGGAGGCAGAAACCATGAGTTCAAGGCCAGTCTGCTCTAAATCCCAAGTTCTAGGCCAGGGTTATAAAATAAGACCTGGGGCATAAAAAGGGGGTTGGGGAGGTACTCCAAGCGAGGTATGGTAGCTCATGTGTAATTCCAGCACTTGAGACTGGAGAATTGCTGTGAGTTACTGAGTTACAGAGTGAGAATTAGTCTCAAAAATAAAAAGGGATCTGGGCAGTGGTGACACAGAGGCAGGTGGATCTCTGAGATCAAGGTCAGCCAGGGCTGTCAGAGCAAGTTCCAGGACAGCCAGGGCTGTCTTGAAAAACAAAGCAAAGCAAAGCAAAACAAAACAAAACAAAGAAGAAGAAAAAGACAAGGGGGAAATAGAGGTAGAGAGGATTACTTCTATTTATGGAGGCCAACTCATTTTACTTTTCTTTTATCACATTAGATTGAAAGTTTCCTAGCATAGTGTGCATGTGGAAGTCAGAGGACAACTTGTGAGAGTTGGTCTTCTCTTACCACATGGGTCCTAGAAATAAGACTCAGGTTGTCAGGCTTGGCAATAGGTGCCCTTAAACCACTGGTGAGCTACCTCATCAGGCCCCCTTTTTCTGGTCTTGGAGAGACAGGAGATGTGACCACAGCTCTCAATTGCCTTTTTTTTTTTTTTTTTTTTTTTTTTTTGTGGAATCTCATGAAACTCAGGCTGTACTCAAACTCACTATGTAGCTGAGGGTGACCTTTGACTCTTGATTCTACTTCCTTTGCCTCCCAGCTATTGGGATAACAAGCATGGTCCACTCTATCTGGCCTGACCACAGTTCTTGAAAATGCTATAACAAATACAAACATGTAAGACAATGACTGGAAGCGGAATTGCTCAGGTTTGTGCTGGACAGTAGTAACTCTGCTGAGAGAAAAGAACTCTTTGGAGATACAGAATTCTGTGAGAACAGAAATTCCAGGTAATTTTTTTTTCTCCATTTGCTATTAGTCCTAATTTGCTTTGTCTTGCTGTGATAAGTACCAAAAGCAACTTGGGAAGGAAAGGGTTTATTTGATTTATAAATCCTCATCACAGTCCATCATGGGGGGAGTTAGGGCAGAAGCAGAACTGAGACAGAGGCCATGCAGGAATGCTGCCACTGGCTTGTTCTCTGAAGCTTGCTCAGCGTGTTTTATATAACCCAAGACAACCGGCTCTTGAGTAGTACCACCCACAGTGGGCTGGGACTCCCACATCAATCATTAATTAAGAAAATGCCCCAAAAACTTGCTCTCAACCAGTCTTATGGATGCATTTTCTTAGTTTCCATCTTCCCATATGATTTGTGTCAAGTTGACAAAAAACTAACCAGTACAGCATTAAAAATATAGTAATTTGAGCTGACCATAGTACATGCCTGTAATCCCAGCACTCTAAAAGCTGAGACAGGAGGATGACAAGTTTAAGACCAGTCTGGACTGCATATCAAAACCGTGTGTGTGTGGTTGTGTGTGTGTGTGTGTAGTTTTGGAGAGCTATCAGATACCTGATGATTCAGAAACTCTTATGATCACTAGCTGTAGTTATGTTGCCACAAAATTCTGTCAAAACCATCCTACTCCATTTTCTGATGATGTAACTGAGTACAGGAGACGGGTAGTTGATGGATAAAGGGAAACGATTTTGAGGGCATGAGTGTTAAGAGAAGGCCTTAATGCAGTTTAAACAGGACTTGAATTCCCCTCACCGTGTATCAAAGACAACCTTGAATTTCTGGTCCTTGTGTCTCTACTTGGGAGTTCTAGGATTACTCACTTGAGCCACAATGCCTAGCAAAATATGTGTTTCTCATGATTAGAGAGCCTACAAAATCCCAATGTAAAGCAACCACTCTAATGACCAACTCCTTGCTGGGGCAACACTGAGTCCCGAGGCAATAAAAATTTTCACATCATAGCACAGAACACAGGTGCCAGAGAGATCTTGGTATTCTTACAAAGCCACTCCTTGCTAATCAACTCATTAATCTACGAATCCATCCACCCTCCTGACCCAATCACACCTCCAAATGCCACCAACACTGCCACCCTGGAACCAACTTGCCAGCACATGAGACTTGGTGGGAAAATGCCACACACGATGCTTCTTGCAGAAATAGAAATGCTAACTTCAGGCTTCTCAAGCTGTTCTCACACTAATTCTGGCTCCATTATCTAGAATAGCAGAATTGTTTCCAGGTCAGAGACTCGGCCCACCTGTCCTTTAAACCATGAAGACAGCTTCTTGTGGTGGCGAAGGCCGGTGGTCCATCCTAGTTCTTGGAATGTAGAGGCAGGAAGATCAAGGACTGAAGTCCATCCGCAGCCACACAGTGAGTCCAAGGCCACCTAGCCTGTATGAGAGCTGATTTCAAAAACATTAAAAGTGGGGTGGTGGCAGCATACCCCTTACTCCCAGCACTTGGGAGGCAAAGGAAGGTAGATCTCCAAGTTTGAAGCCAATCTGGTCTGCAGAGTGAATGCCAGGACTAAACAGAGAAATCCTGTCAGGAAAAATAAAACAAAGCAAAACAAACAAACAAAAAACTAAAGCCTGGTGGTGGTGGCTCACACCTTTAAACCCAGCACTCTGGAGGCAGAGGCAGGGGGATTTCTGTGAGTTCCAGGCCAGCCTGGTCTTCAAAGAGTGTTCCAGGACAGTCTCCAAAACCTGCAGAGAAACCCTGTCTCAAAACAAAACAACAACAACAAAACTAATTTTAAAAGTGTATAGGCTCAGTTTAATTGTTTAATTCAACCAGTGGCATTTCTGTCCATTTCTTAATGACATATTCCCACAGAGGCAAGCATAGCTCTGTTAATGCTTGCCACACTCCATCTTTCTACTCCTTTCTTTACCCTGAGGCTGCCTCAACAAGTACAGAACAGCCTGGGATTTACTTTCCATGGTAACTGGGTTTTACTAGGCTCTGTGAGGTTGTCATGTGATCTATACAAAGCAAACTTCCTTGTGAAATCGGGTTCAGAAGGGCATTGTTTTCGTGTGTGTGTTGACTGACAAGTCTATGGTGGCAAAGCCCGGTACCCTCTACATCCATCCAGATTAATGAGGAAGATTGACATGGGCCTTGACGTCAGCCATTCTCTTGCCAGCACTCCAGTGTCTTCACCCTCTGTCTTTCTACCACCTCCATCTGGCAGTTCCCCAACTTTGGCTCAACCAGCAGTCCCAGCCATCTGTCTTCTCTACCCCACCCAAGCCTGCCAAGATGGCTGCAGGAAAATGTGCCTACGGGGGATTAGGACCACTCCGAGTCTCTTGCTTGTTGCTCTGCTCCAGGATGGCAGCACCCACAGCTTTCACATCTTCCTGTTTGATTTAATCCCTGACTCCCTACACACTACTGACTTCCTCTGCAAATAGCTTTGCAGTGGAGGAAGATGCAGACAAGTTCTAAACTTGCTTTGGTAAGTCTGCTTGAGCTTCACATTGGTGAGATGATTAAGAAATTATTTTAGCCAGGTGTGGTGGGGCAGGCCTTTAATTACAACACTCAAGAGATGGAGACTTGTGGATCTCTGAGTTCAAGGACACTCTGGTATACAGAGGGAGTTCTGGGACAGCCAGGGTTACACAAAGAAACACCCCTGTCTTTCTTGAAAAAAAAAAAAAAATAGCCAGGCGGTGGTGGCACACCTTTAATCCCAGCACTCAGGAGGCAGAAGCAGGAAGATCTCTGTGAGTTCAAGACCAGCCTGGTCTTCAAGAGCTAGTTCCAGGACAGCCTCCAAAGCCACAGAGAAACCCTGTTTCAAAAAACCAAAAAGAAAAAGCCCACAAAAAACTTTTAATTTGTTAAATTAAATTATATGACTAGATTGTTATTGTATGATTGAACAAGTGAATAGATGGATTGGTGTTAAGACCAGGGTTTTTACTCTGGAAGTAAAAAATGGAGGGGAAAACCACTTTGAGAATGGCTTGGAATTGAAAGAGTCAGTGACCTGATTTCTCTTTGTTCATCTCTCAGTACCTATGAGTGATTGATTGTGGAAACCGGTGAAGGCCAGAATCCTAATGTGCTCAAGTCCTTCATAGAAAATGCCATGGTGGTTAGGGCTCGGGAGGTGGCTTGGTTAGTGAAGTGCTTATCATGAAAGCGTGAGGACTTGGGTTCAGATGCTCAGCACTCATGTACAAACCAGACATAGTGGTGCACATCTGTAGTCCCTGTGCCTAGGGGTCCAGAGATAGGAAGCACACCAGCCAGCCAGTCTAGCTGATAACAAAGCCCCAGGCTCAATGAAAGAACCTGTCTCAAAAGTGTACAAAGGAGTGACCGAGGAAGATATCCAGTGTTGACCTCTGACCTCCACATGCATGTGCCCCTCACATATATGTTATACTCACACGTAATGTTATAGGCCAGTGCATAGCTCAGACAGAACATGTGTTTAGAATGTGTCTTGCCCTGCGTTCAATCTCCAGCACACAAAATAAAAAACAAACACATGACCAAATAAGGTGCTGGAGAGATGTCACAGTGAAGAACACTTGCTACTCTCAAAGAGGACTAGGATTTAGTCACCAACACCTACATCAGGCAGCTCAAAAATGCCTGCATCCAGTTCCAGAGGAGATGACACCTTCTTCTGGTCTCATACATACACACTTTGGAAAAGATCAAGTCATACCATATGGTACTTGCTTATAGCCTTCCTGTACACTTTAAATACCATGAACATTATGATAAAATGTAATGCAAGTAAGTGCTATGGAAATTGTTGTTGTCCAGTATTATTCAGGGAACAATGACAAGAAAGAAGTCTGT